CTTCAGTTGTCCCCGATCAGTCTCCTAACTAGTATCTCAACTACACTGCGTTTCAAAAAGATGGCACATCATGTTTTTTCGACATAACTCAACGGAAAATTGTCCATCTCGTTTAAAATTTTTTTTGTAATTAGTTTTGATCAATAAAAGGCTATTAAGAAAACCCTAGCGAAAAAATCATTTTTTAAAAATTTTTTATAAAATAATTTTCAATTTTTCACTGTTTCAAAAAGATGGCACACTTTAAATTTTCGGCATTAGGGGTGGTCCGAAAAATCTACAAAAATTTCTATAAACATATCTATTGATGTGGATAGAAAATACCAAAGAAATGAAGTTTTTATTTACTTCCATCATCGAGATCCTGAAAGCCAAAAATCAACGGGAAACCGGGTGTAGACGTCTTTGAAAATATTTTCGACCCCTTGCAGGTGAAATAAAAATTTTATTTTGGGCCTATTTAAAAGCCCTTGAAATTTGCTACAAGATAGCTTTTATCTCATAATCCAGAAAAAAATCATCTTTGATAAATATTGAGTTTAGTTTATAAGTTACATTTTCATCACTTTTTTGGGGGCGTTTGAGTGATTTTTCTGATCTGAATGTTTATCACATTGTGTCTTAAAGGTGACTTTTTTTGGAAAGATAAAATTGATGCTATTTCGTAGCAAATTTTAAGGGCTTTTAAATAAGCCTAAAATAAAATTTTTATTTCACCTGCAAGGGGTCGAAAATATTTTCAAAGACGTCTACACCCGGTTTCCCGTTGATTTTTGGCTTTCAGGATCTCGATGATGGAAGTAAATAAAAACTTCATTTCTTTGGTATTTTCTATCCACATCAATAGATATGTTTATAGAAATTTTTGTAGATTTTTCGGACCACCCCTAATGCCGAAAATTTAAAGTGTGCCATCTTTTTGAAACAGTGAAAAATTGAAAATTATTTTATAAAAAATTTTTAAAAAATGATTTTTTCGCAAGGGTTTTCTTAATAGCCTTTTATTGATCAAAACTATTTACAAATAAAATTTTAAACAAAATAGACAATTTTCCGTTGAGTTATGTCGAAAAAACATGATGTGCCATCTTTTTGAAACGCAGTGTAGAGTTGCATCCCGCTCTCGTACCCCGACATACCCGCCCCCGAGCATTTGGGGTGCAACCCTAATCCCAACCCCTCTTTCTTAATCTCCCAGTTATCCCCTCTCCCCTAGTTTTTTCCCAAGAGATCGAGAGGTACTTTAACTATTACAGTCTCCCCTTCTTTCAATTATGTATGTACCTGCTTATTCTGAACATAAAACTGTCCATATGTCCTCTTAAAAATTTTCCGCAAAGCTGCCATCGAATTATTAAATCCTTCTTTAAAAAGGCCTTTAAAAAATAAAATTTTTAAATTTTTCTCTTAAAAATTTCCCAACTTTTAAAATTTGTAGCTGAATAACTAAAAAATTGGTGAATTAATCTAATTTGTGATTTAACATTTTGATTAAATTCTGTTTCAGTCAAAAGACTAAATTCCTCTTCCATTTGGGATGTACAGCAAGTTGGGGTATTTGACTGACATATTGAGAGGTTGGAGGCTGGAAATTTTAGAATAAAAAATTTTAAAAATAAAAATTTATTAAGAATTCAACTTTTCAGGCTATTCAAATCTAATAAAATATTGTTTCCCTCGAGTGGGACTCGAACCCTCGACCTTACCCTCAGAAAACTCAAAATTGCCCAACTTAGCCACAGATACACAGTGGATTTAAATGCTAAGGGACGCTTCGGCGCAGCCTCAAAAATAGCCTAGAAGTAACAGTTGCGTTGCGAAACAAACTTAATGGGTTTTCTAACCTCTACAGAAATTTTTTTAGAATTTTTGTCTACTATTTTTAATTTCATTTTGTACATAATTATCAGTCTAATAATATTCTCTTTATTATTTCACCTCTTCTTGGTTCATCGGGCACATTGTAAAATAAAAACTGGGGGTATTTTTGTTTGAGAAAAACACAGGTGGACTGTCCCATTGTGAGACCAAACAAAAAAGGGAAAATTGAGGTCATAAAAATTGTTATTATTTTTGAGAAATTTGTTTTTGTTGTTGTTTGTTTAATAATAACCATTCCTTTTTTTTTGGGAAAATTTGAGGGGAAAATAAATAATTTATTTAGTGAGGAATTGAATTAATAATTCATTTTTTCTGAATTTTATTTTTAATTATATATTTAATAATCTAAAATTGTTTAGGGTTAAATTAGAGGTTCAGCCGATCGAGTTTTCATACAAGTTTTCGAATTTTTCTGACTTGGAGGACGTTTCGGCGCGAGCTTATAAAACTCAATTTTGCCCTAGAGGAGTGAAATTTTGTCAGTTTACGAGTCAAGTTTTAGAATTTTTTATCGAACAAACTCAATCGGGGGACTGTTGGATATGCTCTATCTAATCCTTTATTCTTTTCCCAAGGCTTGAAAGACATTCTAAATACATGGGATAAGTAGAGGGTTGTTCGTAAGATAGAGAGTCATTGTTGAGATAAGAGGGAGAGAACGTATGGTCTTGGACTTACTTATAGATACAAGGGGCTGTAGGAAGCAACATTCTTTCAGTTTCTGTTTTATTTATTTCCCAGAAACCATGGAAGAGAGAAAAAGTTTGAAAGGGATGATGCCCTCCGGAAAAGTTTGAGGTGCGCTGACAGGATTAAAGGTAAAACTTCCGCTGTCTGTGGAAAAGTGGCTCGAAAAGTTTGAAGAAATTCTGTATAATCTAAAGATTATCTTAGAAAAAACTTTTTGTTTTATTTTTATTTTGGGCAAAAAAAAGTAAAAATAACAAAAATAAAAGGTGTGCGCAGAGTGGAAGGAATAAAAAGGGATAGAGGAATTAAGAAGGGGGTTTTATGGCAAAAGGCATTTTTTTTTCAGTTTTTTTCTACTTTCACTCTATGAAAGAATATCCTTTTACCTACCATAAAAAGCGACGCTTTCCTTTCCCTCCCCCTTATTTTTGGTCAATATTCCCCCCCCCCCCATTTTTTATATCCTTTTGTATTTGTCTATTTTTTGAGTCTGTTCTTTTTTTCCCATCATTTTTCTTTTGTGGAAATACCGCTGGTAACTCATCTTTATTTTTTTAAATGGCAGGAAATACAAAATTGAGAGCGATTTAAAATTTTTCTTTTTGAGGAAAAAATATTTTTTAGAAAATTTAATGAGTGGTAATTAAATTTTTGACTAGGAGGTCGTTTCGGCGCGGTCTTATAAAAGTGCCTATATTAGCCTTAGAGGGATGAAACTTTGTCTGAATATTCTTTTTAGTGGTATCTAGATTGTCTAAAAATTTGAGAATTTTTGGTTAAGTATTTCTGAAGTTATGGTCAAAAATCCAGACATAACCCAATAAAAATCGACAACTTCCTCGAAAATTTTTATATTTTTGTCCATAACTTTAGAATTAATGGACCAAAAATTATAAAATTTTTGGACAAAATAGATACCGCTAAAAAGAATATTTGAGCAAAATTTTGTTGCTCTAGGGTTTCAATGGCTGGCCGAAACTTGCGGACCGACTTTTGCGGACAAAAACTTGCGGACCCGACGAATTTCTCGAAACATAGCTGATTCGAAAGAGCTCGATGAGCTGAGTCGAATGACATCAAAATCATCGTGATTGTACAAGCTTGGACAAAGTTACGATAGAAAAACAAAAACATAAACCCCTGGTCCGCAAAAGTCGGTCCGCAAGTTTCGCACTACCGTTTCAATAATAGACATTTTTATTAACCCGCGCCGAAATCTTGTCTGCGTCGAAACAACAAAAATTAATTAAAATTTTATTCAAAAAATTAAGGCTTAAACTGTGATTAGAAAATACAAAAAAAATGAAAGTTGGTGTGATTAATTAAGATTAATAAGAAAAAATGCACACGCGTTTGGTGAAAAATGGCAGGAAAATAATAAAAAAGGGGAAGAAATTTTTTTGAAAATTTTTTTTGGAATTTTTAAAAAATAAAATATTTAAAAATAAAGGCAGTGGTGACCAGAAAAAAGAGTAAAAATATGTGTGGATTTACAGTCGTGGAAAAAAGTATGGAAGCGCTAGTAAATTTCTTTTTATTTTTTAATTTTTTATTCAAAAAATATGTTTTATATACCAATCGAAAGCTCTATTCGTATCTCAGTTGACGTGTTTCTGCATTTTTTATGAAAATGAAAATTGGCCGAGATAATCCGGATCTACCGGATATACCAAATCCCATTTTTTCGCAAAAATTTTTCGGAAGAAATTTAACAAACCCAAATGATAAAGCATATTTTTGTGAGCATTTACCACAAAACCGCTTAAAAATATCTTTTTCCGGAGCAGAGATATGATTTTTTAAAAATTGCATTTTTCGTCTATTTTTGCAAAAAATTCAATTTTTAAGCGAAAAATGCCATTTTCAAAAAATCATATCTCTGCTCCGGAAAAAGATATTTCTAAGCGGTTTTGTGAAAATACTCAGAAAAATATGCTTTATCATTTGGGTTTGTTAAATTTCTTCCGAAAAATTTTTGCGAAAAAATGGGATTTGGTATATCCGGTAGATCCGGATTATCTCGGCCAATTTTCATTTTCATAAAAAATGCAGAAACACGTCAACTGAGATGCGAATAGAGCTTTCGATTGGTATATAAAACATATTTTTTGAATAAAAAATTAAAAAATAAAAAGAAATTTACTAGCGCTTCCATACTTTTTTCCACGACTGTATACCAATAAACAAATAATTGTCCAAATACCAAATTTAAATGAAATGAGAGAGAGGGAATCGGCAGTTATTAAAGAATGAAAAAATTGGGGTTATGCTACTGAAAATTTTTTAAAAATTTTTAAGAATTTTCTCTGGAAATTTCATGTTCTCCGATTTGAACTGAAAATGGGGTGATTCTAGAAAGCAGGGAATAGTATATCCTCTCTAGCTAAGATATCCCAACTCTGACCAAACTTCTAAAAAAAATTTTTTTCTTAAACATTAGTAGGTACAGCAGTCCCATAAACAAATTCTTGTCCAAAGCCTTCTCTTATATTTTTGTTAAAATTATTATTTTTGTCATTATTTGTTGGTTCTAATGGAGGTGGAGTTTCTGGACATTGTTCAACATCGGCAATTATACTCACAGAGAGAATGAATTTTTCACTGGAAAAAAATTTTTTTGAAAAAATTTTTGGAGAATTTTTTGAAATTTTTTTGAAATTTTTCGAAAATTTTTTAAAAAAATTTTGAAAAATTTTTTGAAAAATTTTTGAAAAATTTCAAAAAAAAAATTTGAAAATTTTTGAAATTTTTGAAAAATTTTCTTTAAAAATTCACCTTGGATTATACTTTCTACAAAGCTGAATTAAACTAGGCTCCTTCCTTTGATCTATCAATGCCTGTATTGGGTAATAAAATAATAACTGATTAGGGTCATGTCTTGCAAATATTTGCCAGCCTTTTTCTAAATATAATTGGGCTGAATATGCTGATCTAGTAATTTAGGAAAAAATTTTTTCTAACTAAGAAATTTATTTTACATTAAACGTATATTAACTGAACCGCGTCCTTCTCTTCTAAATCCTTCTCTGGCAACCCTGGACATGTGAAATTGTGTTTCTGGGTCTCGACGGACCTTGAGAGTAAAAATTTTTTTTAAATTTCTGGTCTAAGTCGAGGAAGAGCTTAAAAAACGGAGGGGGAGGGTTACTTACTTTTTGAGCCCTACCTTTTTGAGGTAAAGTTACCTATCTTTTGAGGTATCCCGTTCTTCCCAGAATCACAGGTTTTCTCTAGTAGGAATCTGTGAAATTCGTTGGATCTCAGTCCAGTTCGTTAGACCTACAAATGGAAGGGGAATATTGAGGATTGAAGACATTGGTGAATGGATGTACTGAGCTTAGCTTTAACCGAAAACGAATGGTAATATTCCTAAGTGGTCTTGAAAGGACCTGGAACTTTAAATCAGATTTTCTAAGATTTGGTCTATTACTGGAATTCTTAAAAAAATTTTTCCAAACAAATACCTTCATAATAACCTCTTTACAAAGAGAATTAATTCTGGCAAAAGAACATTTATCTCTATGCCTTTCCCAATCTCGTTGTCTACAACTACGAGAACAGTAATAAGTATAACAATGTCGACACCAACAATAATGACCTCTGGCTTCTGGTAAAGGCCTAATTAATTGGCAATTTGCACAGCGGACATAAATTGGCACATTCTGAGATTTTAAGGAAATTGGTTAAATTTTTGGAGTTCAATTTGGGAAAAAATCTATCGGACCCTTATTTTACGTAAACCCTTTGAGATACAATAAGGTATAAAAACTACACGGGTATAGACTTTGGAAGATAACCTAATTTCTAATTAACACTCGCTAGTAGCGACACGGAGTGGTTGTAGAAAAGGTTGCCTATAATGAGAGTTGCTAATCACCGCCCAAGGGGCAATGGAGGGAACGAAGAGATTTCTTTATAACGTCATTAAAAAGTCGCTACTAATGAGAGTTGACTATATGTATATTCTGATAGAGTTTGTAAACTAGAGGTGTGTCTATAAAACAGAAGGGTCATAAGTTAGAGGTTTCTAAAAATATTTGTTTAATTTCCCCATCTTTACCCTAAGCAATTGTTCAGCCAGTTGTGGCTGTTCTGCCAATTTATCCATCAATGCCTGATTTGGAGTAAAAATTCCAGGTCCGTCTACATTTCGAAATTGCGATTGGGACTCTGAGAAGGTGCTTTAAAATTTAAAGAAATTTATTTAGAGCTTTTAAATTTCAAGAAAAATGCCTTGGATCTGCAGGAGGGAGATCAGGAATATATTGAGTAGATTGAAAGATTGAATCTAATACTTCTTCTAAAGTAACTCTTCCTCCATAGCGCTTGCCTAAAGGAGGTTGTTGTCCATCTGTTGCTGCTGGGCGATCAACAAAGGTGTCAACTACTTCTACTACACGGGAGTTTTGACTTAAATGAAGGGTTAAAAATTTAAAAAAAATTTTTATAATAGTATGGGCCAGGGAACGAGCCTACGTAAATAAATTCCCACCTCGGAATTGGGATCCCGAGAATTTTCAATTACCGATTTTCGGGAAATGGGACGGCACGCTCCCTGATATGCTTTTCTTAATCGGACCTTTCATCTAAACCCATGTTCCCGTAAATGGCAAGGCACTACATCTGAACTATTCTATCTGAGAGATCTTACTAGAGAGGGGACAAGTCTTTAGTATTTTTAATTAGATGTCCTTAGTATTTTTAAGTCCTTAGTATTTTTAATTAGATGGGCTTCCTAAAGGACCTCCTCTATTTAGGAAGATTTAGATTTTTTGAACCCACATATTTTTTCAACTTCCTAAAAATATTTCTGGAAATCCCACCGTTCTTTAGGTGCCATTCTCCATTCACTAGGAACAGTAGAGACAGTATATCCAGGCAAGTGACTGCCTTGTGGATATGCTAATGTTTGTACTTCTGTTTTGGAGAAGGCCTTTTTTGAATAATTTTAATTAGTTTTTATTATTTAATTTATCCAACCTCGTTTTTAAGATTATGACAATCTCAAGTTAAGAGACTTTTTTAAATCCTTTAACTTATTGGCGTCCCCAGTGTTCAGTGGGAATATGTAGTGGGAGGTACTCCTCTAGGACTATCAACCCTGCCCCTGAAACACCGCAAGGACCTTTGAAAAAATTTTGATCTCCAGTTAAGAGACATTTTCTTAAAATTTTGCTTGGACATTGGATGCGACTGCGTGGGATGTGGTTAAACGATAAGCCTAGGTGAGCGCCGTTTGGATATAGTATTCCCTAAACCAAAAGGGATCTAAGAACGAGGTTCGACTATATAGAGTTACCTCTTTAGAATATTCTCTAGTTACTGTATTGCCTTCAACTATTAATTTTGGTGGTTGTTGTTGAGGCTTAAAAAAGGGGTTGTGGATTTAATTTTTAAGAAAAATGGAAGGGGAAAGAGGTTAAAGTAAAGGATAAAGCAATTAAAGCAAACATATTTATACATAATGTATTTTTTATTTTCCCGAAGACTTGATGTTTTTAAGCCTCTATAAAATTTAATTGAGTGTTTTTCTCCTTCGTTGATGTCGCCAGTAAAGACTAAGCCTGCTTTCACCTTCTAGTTTCAATAGATCTTAAATTTCCGCCTAGTAAGATGGATTTTCCTTCTTCCTTAGATAGGGAAGAATCTAAGAATTCGAGCAGTATATCCAAAAAACTTTCAAGGAATCTAGAATCCTATCATTACATTAGTCATTCAAGCGTTTCCCGATTTTATTTAAATTTTAATTTTTGAAGCAAAGTGGGAAAAAAGGATAAAAGCAGAAATTATATTAAATTAAATTTGAAAAAGAAATACCGAAGCTGGAAAATTAAAAACAAAAATTTTTATCAATTATTACCATATAAATAATTCGATGTGCAAAAAAGTTCAAAATTTAAATTTAAAAAATTTTATTTTAATTTAAATAAAAGTGCGACAGAAAATGAAGGCAAAGGGAAGAAAAAAAGGGGAAAAATGCACGAAATTTTAAAAATTTTGGAGGGAAAAAATATTTTTTGGCACACAAAATTAAATTAATGTATAAAGGAACTGATAAAAATTTTTTTTTAAATAATCTCTTGTGCCAAAAAATGAAATTTTAATTTGCTTTTAAGGATAGTGTGCACATGAGCATTAAATTAAAGAATATTATTTTATCAATTATTTACTTATAATTATTTTTTATTTTAAAATGGCATTTAATTAAAAATGGCAAAGAGGGTAAAAGTTAAAATTAATCTTATGTTTAATTTGTTAATTAGGAAAAATTGAAAGAAATTTTTTGTTTAAAAATATTTTAGGCAGTGGTTTAATGGAAAATTATTAATTTTTAAATTTTCAAAAAAAAATTTAGGCATTAAAAGTTGTGTGCTTTAAACGAACCGAGTGGGTGTGAAAAAGGAAAGAAAAAAAACAAAAAAATGTGCAGAATAGAAAAAAAAATTTCTAAAAATTAAACAAAGAAAAAGCCAAAAAGCATTAAAAACAAGGCAAACTTTGGAGGAAATTTTCGGATATATACATATGTTATGGTTAACTGAAAGTGTTGGTTGACCAAATTAGTTAACCATTGTTAGGTTAAATTAATTGTAAAATGGCATTAAAAACCACGTGGTTTCCCCGCTTTATTAAATTCTTCAACAATGTCTATAACCCCAAGGGATGACCTGCTATAGCTAACCCAAAAAAATTTTTTCTTCAATAAAAACCTTTTAGGAATTTTCACTTTTCCCTCACTCGGCTCGTTTTTCACATCAAAACACACAGAAAAACAAAAATAAACACAAACAAAAATTTTTCCAGGAAAAAAATTTTTTTTTGAATTCAAAGCACGCAGACCTTTGTATGTTCCTGTGGATGTGTTGCAGTTCCTCCTCCACCTCTTTCCCCACCCAAACCCAATTGATGTAAAGAGCCTCTAGAACGTCTCAAATCTTCAATTTCTTCTTTATATTTATCAAACATCCCTGCGGGGAAAGAAATTCCTCCGAGAGGGGGAGAACCATAAATAGTTGTTGGAGGGGGTTGTTGAGTATATTGCCATGGACGTGAAGTTTCTTTTCCGTATAGAGAAGAAATGGGAGGAGGTGGTTCTTGGCGAGTATAGGGGTACTAAAAATGAGGTTTTGAATTTTTTAAAAATTTTTAAAAATTTCTAAAAATTTTTCTTGAAAATTTTAGAAAATTTTTAAAATTTAATTTTAATATAGGGTTCAAGCTGTTTTTCGAGATTTAAGGACTTATTTCGGTTATTATAATACAGTTAGAATTTTTTAAACTAATTAGAAGGCGAATAAAAATAATTTTTGCCCTAAAATATTTTTAAATAAATGAGGACCGAACTGGGCGTAATTAAGGGTTTGTATTTTAAAAGAAAGGGATACTCAAAAGGAGGGATACTGTAAAAGAGTAAATGATATTAAATTAATTTTTTTTTAACTTAAAATTAATTTTTCTAAAATTTATTGATTTTTTCGAGTAAAAAAATTTTTTAGAAGTCATCCTATAATCCCCCCCCCCCCAATTTTCTATAAATTTAAAATAAAATTTAAAAAATCCCCACCCCAGTAGAAACAGTCGGTGCTGTCCCAGCAGAAAACACTCCACTTGTAGTAGCCGATGGTGGACCATAACCTCCTATAGGAGGTTGTTGTTGTCTATAATAATCTCTATACCAATCAGGTACTTGCATTCTTTCTGTTGATTTTCGGAAACGTAATTCGTGTTCGCCGAGTAATCCTTTTTGTAAATCATTTTCGGGGATGGTTGGTTCTTCTCTTGGACTGGAATTTTGTAAAATTGAATTCTATTTTTTCTTGCAGATATCCTAGACTTTCCTAAGATATCCCGGAATAAGGATAATGGATAGATGTAGCGATGTAACTCCAATGTTTGGGGGATAACTGGGAGTGTTTGTTGTGTGTGTAGAATAGAATGTGGCTTTTAATTTATCCCAATCAGGGGTGGGCGCATTGCGTCATTTGCGTTAAATTTTGGCCTTGCGTTGCGTTTTTTGAGATTGTCTCTTGCGCCCACACTTGATCCCAATCATTTAGATACCCCAAACTCTAAGTAAATGGTGAAATTGGTGAAGGCCACTAATATAGTGAAGGTCACTAAATAAAATTCTAACAAATCTCACCGTCTCGGATCCATCAAATAATCGGCAGATTTGCTTCGTGTATGTGTTGATTCCTGTTCGGTATATTCCCTTCGGCTTAGACGCTCTCGAGAGGTAGGACTGTAGGAGTCTAATACAGACTTTGAACGATGAAAATCCTCCTTTTTTAAAAAAATTTTTAGGTTAAAAAATTTGAAAAATTAAAAAGAAAAGAGAGGAGAGAGGTGGTTTTTGGAGAGAATTTAATGGAGATGAGAAAATTTTAAAGGAGGAGGAAATAGAAAATAGAGTAGAAAGAAGATTTCGTTAATTAAAACCTTGAGAAAATTAGGAAGAGATAAAAGGAAGGTTGAAAATAGTCGTAAAATAAAAATAACCTCGGGCGCAAATCCTTCATTTAATTCAGTAATATCTAAACCCGTGTGACTCCAATATGAAGGAGGCTTTTTAAGTCGATAATAATGTGCCAGAGAACGACGAGCTTTCTCCAACAAACGTTGAAATTCCTGAGAGAATGAGCAATGAAGAATGATACAAGCTAATTAGGAGGAGGAAGAGGGGGCGGAAGAAGAATGAAGAAAAAATAAAAGATAGGTAAAAAAGGAAGAAAAAGGTAAAGAAAGTCTCTTATAGAGAGAGTTATTCGTCCACTACATAGAGGAGAGGTAGGCAAAGTCGCTTATAGTGAGGGTCACTAAACAGAAGTGCAATAGTAAAAGAGGTTGTTAAATAGAAAATAAAGTCGCCTATAGTGAAGGTTACTAAATGGAGGTGCAATAGTAAAAGATGTTGTTAAATAGAAAAATAAAAGAGAATTTTAAGAAAAAAAACGTGAAAAAATAATCGAGATAGTCGGTTCTAGACTAGAATTAAACCAGTTAAAAGGTGCTAGTAAACAAAAAAACTGATAGAAAACAACAAAAAATTAAAACTAAAAATAAATTTACAACAACCGCCCCCTCTCCCCTCCAAACAAAAAATTATCAGAAAAATACCTGCTCATAAGGACTCCGACCCAATCCACTTGCAAGTCCAATAGTTGGTTCAGGAGGATGGGAAAACTCTCCGCTGTTGAAACGTTGAAGTAAAGGACCTCGATATTCTGAAGGGGGTCGACGGCCATAAAGTAAATCTTCAGTAGATTTTCGATAACGGTCTAGCAATGGGTCTTTAAAAGGGGAAAAAATTTTTTTTTTGAGGAAAAAATTTCTTCTCACCATAACTTGAAGGAGGATATTCACTTGGTGTCCCAGTAATAAATTCTTTCCTCGCCCTTTCCATTCTTTGCCTATATTTACTCGTTCTACTAGATGCCCCACGTCTTAGCCAATCTTGTTCATCTGCTCTAGATTGATATAAACGAGAAGGCTCCCTTCCTCCACCACCCGTATATTCTTCCCCCTCTGTAGGAGGAAGTTGTTGGCCACCCAAATCTCCCCCATAAAGAGGTGGAGGCATTCCATTGCTGCCTGGACCGCCATAATAGAGAGGGGTTAGTCCATTATGGGAAGCTGGACGTGTATCTGTCGTGTCTGTCCAAAGAGTTCGATCAACACGTTCAATGACTTGGCGTTCAACCTTTTTAGGAAGGAAATTTTGAAAAATTATTTTGGCGCCTAAAGTACCTTAGTAGTCAAATCAGGATAATCAGCCAAATTTTCACGTGAATAGTAAGGTTTACGTGTCAATCTCTCCAAAGTTTCTTTGGATGTTAGTCCCTGTCGTTTACGTTCTTGTATTTCATGTTCCTCCTATTTAAGAAAAATTTTTAGGGGAGTTAGAAAATTTTTAAGGGGTTAGAAATTTTTTGGGGATTTTAAAAATTTTCTTAGGGCTTGATTGTGGGAGGTTCTTATAGTGGGAGATAATAAAACCCCTTAGAGTACCAATAATCGTCTTCTCTCCGCTTCCCAAGCAGCCTTCTCATCCCTCTCACGTGCAAGTTGTTCAAGCATCTCCCGGCTACGCCATCCTTCTCTCTGTCTCCTCTCTTCACGCTCTTGAGCTTCTCGTCTTTCCCTTTCCCGTTCAATTGCCATTCTTTGTTCTTGATCTCGTAATTCTGCAAGTCTTAATTCTTCTGCTGCCCTTTCACGTTCCCTCTTTTCTTGTTCTAATCTCTCAAACTCTTTCAATTCTTCTGCTCGTCGTTCAATTTCTAAACGTTCACGTTGTTGACGCTCCTCTAGGGCTCGATGTGCTCGCCGTTCAGCTGCTTGGGCTTCTAATTGTGCTAGCCGATCGCGTTCTTGTTGCTCTAAAAATTATTATTTTTTACTTTCCGGAAGAAGCTTATTTTCCGGAATTCTCTAACACATACCCTGCATTTGCCTTTCTCTTTCACGCTGTTGAGCCTCTACACGTTCACGTTGTCTCCGCTCTTGTTCAAGTCGTTCCTCCTCTTGGCGTTGGCGTTCCCTATCTCTCTCTTCTCGACGTTCTTGGTCTCTACGTTCACGAGCAAGTATTGCGGCTTAAAAAAAATTTTTTTAAACTCTTTAAACCTAAAAATCAACCCAAAAATACCTTCAATCATTTCCCTTTCTCTCCTTTCTTGTTCCAATCGTTCCCTCTCCCTTTTTTCAGCTTCCATTTGTTCTTGCTCAATCCTCTCCTTTTCCTTCCTCAACATTTCCAGTCTTTCCTGTTCAGCACGTTCCCTAGCCCTTCGAGCAATTTCCCTTTCCATAGCTTCCCTCTCAGCACGTTCAAGCCGTTCACGTGCCAATCTTTCCTCTTCCCTTCTCTGAGCTTCTTTTTGTGCTTCCCTTTCCCGTTCTCTTTGCCTTTCAGCTTCTTCACGTTGTTCACGTTCATATAATTCCCTAGCTTGTCTTTCCAATTCTAAACGTTCACGTTCAGCTTTTTCCAACTCTTCTCGTACTTTTTGTAATCTGGCAGCTTCTTGTCTTTGCCGCTCTTTTTCTCTTTCATCTTGCTCACGTTTTTCACGTTTTATTCGTTCTATACGTTCAATCTGAAATTTGGAATTTTTAAAAAATTTTCCAGTGAGTTTCGAAGTTCCGGAACTTTTTATTCACCTCAAGCCGTTCAATTTCCAACCGTTCCCTTTCTATCCTTTCCTGTTCCAATCGTTGTTTTTCAATTCTTTCCAATTCTAATTTTTGCCTTTCCAATCTTTCACGTTCCAAACGTTCAGCTTCTAAACGTTCTCTTTCGAGCCTTTCACGTTCTATTCGTTCCAATTCCCGTCGTTTTTCCAATTCGGCTTCCTCATAAGCTCGCCTCTCGCGTTCAATACGATCCCATTCCTTTTAATTAAATTTGAAAGAATTTAAAAATTAAAAATAGGCTCGCTCATGTTTGGCTTTTCAAAAAATGTAATTAAAAAAATATTCTTTCAGAAATTAACTGAACAATAAGTAAGATCAAAACCTAAGTAAAATAAAAAAATACTTTATTTATCAAATAAATTTTATTCTATCAAATACAGTCAGACAATTAACTAAAAAATATTTTTGGTTGGTCAATAGAAGGTAGAGGGAAGGTACCTCCACCTTCTATTGAAGAATTTTATTACCCCTTATTGTAAGATAAAAATTTTCAGTTCCATGTGAGATCCGACTGTAATTTGATTTTGTAAATAAATTTAATAATCTAATAACTAAATTTTTTAAAAATCACATCAAAACTAATCTAAGAAAGCAACACTCCAAAAAAAAGAGTAAAAAAGCAAAACAAGCTCGATTGAAAAACAAAACATGCGCGGCCTTTTAATTAAACAATACTACGTTAAAAATGTTTTTAGTTAGTTAGTAGGGTTCCCCTCCGAATATTTTTTATCTTAAAGATTTGAAAATGGTCGGAGCCGGAGCCACAAAGCACCCAATACCCAGCACTGTTCAAAAACCTTCATTTGACAGTAGAGAGCTGGACCAGGGCTTGGATTTTTCTTGTACCCAGAGTCCAGGTCCAGGCATTTTTTGACCTTCCTGGGTTTTTCCTGGACCTGGGGTTTTCCTGGACTACAGGCCCAAGATCCAGTCCAGGTCAAGAAATTAAACTCCAGAGTCCAGGAACAGGTCCAGGCTTTTCAAAAATCTCATCTCTATTTGACTGGTATGGGAGGGGCGGGGAGGGACCCTACTTGTTTGCTATACAAGATTTTTAATCAAAAATTCAAATTTCTCCCCAATTTTCAAAGAATATCCAACAAGAAATAACGATTATTCTCCTCCTCATTCACAGCCTCAAAGGATTCTTCATCAATAACTTCCTCCTCCTCATTCCAATACCAAAAATTCCCAAAAGGTATTATTTCCACCTCTCTACGTCGACGTTCAGCAGCTTCTCTTTCCAACCGATCCTGATGTATTCTGTCACGTTCAGCACGTTCCCTGTCGAGCATTTGGGCTTCCAATGTTTTCCCCAATTGTTCTCTTTCTCTCCGCAATTTTTCGACCAATTCTTGTTCTTGTTGTTCAAGACGGCGGCGTTGTTCTTCTACTCGAAGGCGACGTTCTTCTTCTGCTCGGCGACGATGTTCCTTTAAAAAAAATTTTTTTTTCTCGAAAAATTCATGGTGCCAAAAGACCTGTTCAGAGCGTAGTCGGCGTTCTTCTTCTTCAATGTTGCGAGAATATCGAACCCTGGATAATTAAATAATTATTTTTATTAAGAACCCGTTTCTTCTATTTCCCGTTATAATCCCTTAGAAATTAAAAAAACAAAAGGCGCACCAATATTCCTCAGAAAGCTGATCTCTAGGAGGAAGATCAACATTTAAGGGACGTGTAGGAGGCAGTGTTGGTGCAACTGGCGGTGAACGACTTAAAGGTGGAGGTGCACTCAAAGCTTCAGTAGAGCGTGTAACCAATGTTCGGGTTAAAACCTAGAGGGAATTAGTAATTTTGAAATTATTTTGAAAATTTTTTTTAAAAATTTCTGAAATTTTTTTGAAATTTTTTTAAAAATTTTTTGAAAATTCTTGGAAAATTTTTTGAAATTTTTCTTGAAATTTTTTTTTGAATTTTGGCTTCCAAAAAATATTTTTTCCCCATTTTCACACCTCTCTTCTATAATATTCATTGTGGGTAGGTGGAGGTGCTGCAGCCTGTATCGGTCTAGCACCACTCCCCATAATTCCCCCAATAGAAGGTGCAAAAGCTGAAGCCGATCTTTGAATCGGAATTTCTCGAATATTCGTTGTTTGTCTCCCAGCTCTTTGATCAGTGCTAGCAGGTCCACCACTTGCAGACATGAAATCAGAACGAGAGCTGGATTCAAAAGAATGATCAAAGGCACCAACAGAAGCAAAAGCTGTTGGGACTGGACTTGGCTAGAAAAATGAAGGAAAATTAAAATTAATATTTTTTGATGTATTTAAATAAAAAAAAGTGAAGATAAAGGAATTATAAGAATTTAAGGAATTTTAATTAAAAATTTTATTTAAATAATTCTACAGTATACTCTCTCATTAATTCCCCTCATCAGAATAAAGCAATAAAAATTAATTAGAATTATGTCCCAAAGCCTTAACAAAGAAGAGAATGATTAACGTCGATAGGCTTAGATATAAAGCTTAATTCCGTATAATTAACTCCCTCTACAGTGGACTACTACCAAGAAATGAGCAATGTATATAGTGAAGTCCCTCTATAATAATAGTTGACCCATGACCCATTATAGTTAACTTATTCGAAGGTCAACATTTCGAAAGCTCATTCGAAAGCCTTATCTCCTGAAAAGCCTTCTCTCCCAAGAAGCCTTCTTTCTAAAAATCCTTAGTTGTCCTCTTAAAAAAGAACAAAGGATCTCACGGTCTCATTTTGGATTCACTCTATACGTTAGTCGACTGTTTTTAGATTATATCTAGGTGTTAAAAAGTTCTCCAAACTTTTAATAAAAATTTTTTTGATTTTTAATGAGTCAAAGACGAAAAATAGAAGAAAGAAAAAATTCGTACAGCTGCTTTAACTATACAAACATACAAATTATGAGTGGCCAAGAATGTGATGAAGCTGCTAAAGCAACTTTAAAGGGGAAGGGGGCTGTCACGATTGCGCAAACATTTAAAAAAAGAATAAGGAAAAATAAAAAGAGTAAAATGCGTGATGGATAGATGAAAGGAAATTTCCTTACATTTTTTTGTTGTTTGCAGAAATATTTTTATATTTATTTTTAAAAAAAGTGTTTGAAGATAAAAGAAGAAGAAATATTTAGTGATTGTATGAGGATGAAGAAAAAATTTTTTTGAAAGAAAAGGAAGGAGGAAGGAAGTAAAAACGAGGAGGAAATGATGGAAGAGGTTGATGAAGGCTCTCCAAGGATCGAGAAATGAAAGGACTGGATTTAAATACCGTATTTCCTCTAATAGGATGACCCCCTCCAATAGAATGCCCCTTTGGAGGATGATTAAAAATAGGATGTCCACTCCATTATAATGACCCCCTCCATTAGAATGCCCCCTAAAATAGAATGCTCCTTTGGAGGATGATTAAAAAATAGAATGCCCGGGCATTCTATTAGAGGAAATAAGGTAGATGTGGTTAGTGGAAAGATCTATTAGAGCTTAAACCCTTACTGGCGCCCCAGAAGAAAGTTTTAATCAAAATAATCTTTCCCCTAACTGATAGACTGAAAAATCATCTGAACAGATTTACAGTAAATATCCCAAAAGAATCCCATCTCAAATAGAACCTGAGAGTCTCAATGAAAACCCATGTGACCATTGAAAAACAAACGTCCATGGCCTATATTGGGATATTTACGATATTTAAATCCGTTTAAAATCCCAGTTTTTGGTAGACAAAAAGAATTAGAAAAAAGGGTCAACAGGATTGGTTAAAAACAAATTTATTGAAAAAATAGAAAAAATAAAGGGCATTCAATTCAATATTTTAATAATTATTATTGCTTTAGCTTTTCTCTCTCTTTTTATTTTTATTTGTGTCAACTATTCAAATCCGGCTTTGTAATGACCGGCTTTTCATTCAATGACCGGCTTTTGCTCACTACTAAAATAATAAAAGAGAGAGGATTGTAGGAAAGGAAAGGTGGGGGGCTTGGAGAAGTATATTATTATAAAAATAATAAGCAAATGTACAAAACAAAAATAATATTTAAATAAATTAATGGTATACTATGTGGTTTCAAGGGGGAGGGGGAAGGAGGGGGTGAAAAAAGAGATGATTTTTGATGGATTCTGTATAAATAATGGAAGGAGGGGGAATAAGAAAATGAGGAGGGAATGAGAGGAAGAGGGGAATGAGAGGAAGAGAGAGAAGAGAGGAAGAGGTCAACAGAAATTTCTGGAAATTTCTTGGAGCGGATGCTTTGATAGATCGTGGGCCACTAAAGGTACTTCCAGTAGATTGGGGTTACACCTAGAGTCGACAGAAATTTCTAAAAAAAATTTCTTGGAGCGGATGCTGTGATAGATCGTAAACTAAAGGTCCTTCCAGTAGGTTGGGGACACCCAGAGTCAACAGATTTTTCTAAAAAAATCCTCGGAGTAGATGCAGTGATAGATCATCGGGGTATCTCTAATCATCGAATAAATACTTATTTAAAGAAAATGTTGAACTTAATCAAAAAATAATGCAACAAATATCAAAACAATTTCGACCTCATTATTTATTTTCAAAACCAGTTTCGGCTGTAATCAATGAAAATAAAATGGAATGCGCGCAAAGCGCGCCAGCTGTGAGAAATGGGAAAATGAGGAAAGGACAAATAAATACTCATTATTCTTATTGTTCTGTGGAAAGGTAGAAGCTGAGGAAAGGAGGGGGATTTTTGCTAGCTACCTAAAGCTTTAAATTGTATAAAGAGAAGGAAAGCCTATACCTGGTGCTTTTTGTTATTTTTCTTTTACTGAAAAATATTTTAAAAGTAGAAGCAAAAATAAGAGGAAATTTTTAGGATTTAAAAAGGCCAAAGAAATGATTAGGTTACTCCTCCCAATTAATGTTAACTTTGTTTCCAAAATAACTCCTGTTTCTGTCCTATCTTCTAGAAATATAGCAGAAATGCTGCAAGCCGATTTAAAAAAACGGAGGATGAAAGATGGAATTAGCCAGATAGACTTAAAAAAAGGAAGGCGTCTTGGACATAGTTTAGGAATTTCATTTTCTTGGACGTAAACAGACACAAGTAAAAATTAAGTATGATCTTCGAAATGTTGGTCTGGGATGTTTAATTATTCATTTTAAGTTATCAGAATAAATCTAAAAGCTTTTCCAAAGTCTAAGGAAAAGATGAAGGTTTATCTTCCAAATGTCCTACCTTCCATCTTCCAAAATTCTTACCAAAATTCCCAAAAATAAATTTGTGAAGAATAAATGAAGAATAAAAATAAATAAAATTTATGAACGATCTCTCTCTCTTAAAAATTTATGAGATTGTTTTGGATCTGTCATTTCCTCTCAAAAGCGACACAGCTCCTCTCATACAGCTTCCTTCTCTCTCCCTCTCTTAAATGAGTGCTCCTTTTCTTTTATTCAAATTGGAATGAAAAGAGATTAAATTGAAGGATATTTTCAATACAAAAATTTAAAAAGAAAATTTTTCAAATAATTTATTAGGTCACTACATTTACTAACAAATACAAAAATTTTGACAAAAATTGAGAGAGAGGGATGCTTTTAGTGACAGTCATTTAATGTAAATATATTGATCGTTAAGTGCGGCTGTCATTAATAGAGGGGAATAAATTGAAAATATATTTATTTTATTGTATTTTGAATGAAAAAGGGAGAATGAAAAATCTATGTCATTGCATTGAATTGTGGAAAATAATTTTCAATTGAAATTTTGTTAAAATTTGAAAAAAGGGGGAGGGGGGGGGAAGATTGAATAGAGAAACGAAAAATTAAAAATCAAGAAAAGAATGGGTCAAAAATAAATTTAATTTTAGCTTTGAAAAGTTCAAATACGGAACTTGAAAAAAAAGTGGAACTTCCAATTACTAAGGCTGATCAAAGACGTTTGATCTTTAGAAGCTCGATTCGAGATACTTTTTTACCCCCCCCCCCATTTATTACTAGGGACTAGAATGGGAATTTTGTAGAGAAATCGTGATCAGTATCTCAAAAAATATCGTCTCAATAACCAAGATTTTTGTTCGATATCTTGTCTCAGTCTGATCTCAATTCCGTTAACTACTTAAGCAAAATAATCTAAATAAGTTAAGTGGGGATGTTAAAAATAATTTAGTGAATTTCAATAAAATTAAGGGAGATATTTGCAAAAAAGAATTTTAAATCTCTGGAATTGAAAGTCATAAGTAAGCAAATATTTTGTATATCAAGCTTCACGGCTTACTCAAATTTCGAATTTTTGGTCCTAAGAAATATTTATTAAAGAAGAAAATAAAAATGATTTTAGAGGGTCCGAAAAAAGAGAAAATGAGAGAGAGAGAGAAATAAAAATTTGAGGAATTTAGTAAAATAAATAGAGAAGGTATTTTAAGTTATAAGGTAAACAATATTTTGTTAAAAATGTTTGTTGTACATACTTTTAAATTTTATAAAATGAAGAAAAAATATTTTGAAACTAAAGAAGTGTTTGTACACCTCCCCAACTTATTCCAAGTTTAAAAAAGTCAAATTTCTCGATTTTTGGTATGATTAACATTTTCCAATGGGCTATAACAAACCAACAAGAGATAGATAGGACTATTTTTTAACTGAGGTAGTTTGACCTACTCTCTCCCAAATATAAGTGCCCGGATTTCTCTCCAGTTAAAAATCACCAATCTCTAAATCTCGCTCCAATTACCAAAAAGAGGGCAGGTTTACAAAAATATCTTGAGTCGGGGCTTGGGTCGGAAAAACCGGCTTTGAACCTGTTACCAAATACACTACATCCATGTCAACAAAACCCCTATTAATGGTTTCCATCAAATTTTAAACAGAAAGTCTAGCAACAACGCTAATATTACCATTTATCATATATCCAAGAGGTTGGTGTTACCAAAGTTTTCCGTTTCCTTATCTCAATTTATGAAAAAATATAGTGACAAAAATTTTAAAAATTGCTTTAGAAAAAGTGGTCTAAAACGATGATTAAAAAAAGATTGTGGGGACAAACTGTCACCATGAAGGGCGAAATAAAGGCAAAAAGCAATATATATTTATAGAAATGACTGTACTAAAGGAAAAAAACTAAAAAAAACTAGCGTTGATTAAACGATGGAAAAAATTTTTTTGAGAGAAAAAAAATGAAAATGAATCAAAGAAAAGGAATTTTTAATAGTAAAAATTAGGGGGGAATGGATGGGGTAGAGATGTGTGGAAAATAAATCCGTATATATTTAATTAAAAATATTAGAAATAAAAAATTAATTAAAAATTTTTGGAGATATGTAGCTAAGATCATGTTTTTAATCACAGAAGGTTGAACAGTTAAAAATGTGAGGGGTCTGAGGATAAATGAACTAGAAATAGTAAGGTATCTCGAAGTAAAAGACACCCCAATTTAACCTATTATATTATAGTAATTCAGGTTTTCTGATAGAGAGTGGTGGGTCTTTATGGGGGTTGTCCTGACTAGATACCAGACTGAGACGGATCTTGAACAAAAATATTGGTTACCGAGATCGAGATTTTAATACGACCTCCCAGTTAGGTTTTGATAATGGGGGCAGTCTTAAAAGTGGTTGGAAGCTCGAACCAAAATTCGTACACGTACTTGTGTACGAGGTAATAAAGGCCTATACGAAAGTAAGTGCACGAGTACGAGCAAATTTCAAAATTCCAATCACTGGTCTTGAACAAGTAAAAGAGTTGAAAAAATAAATAATACTTGAGGTTTGATTAAAGAGATTTGGAAATTAAATATGATGACTTAAATTAAATTGAAAATTAACAAGAACTCAAAAATAGTTTGATCAAAGAAAACAAGGTTTGAGAAAAAAAATAAAATGATGGGGGGAATACTAAGGAGGAAATTAACCGGAAAATGTAAAATAAATAAATTGGAAAAATGATGGGTAGAAAACAACATAGGTAAAAATATAAAAAAAGGGGATGTGATTCAACGACGCAACGAATTTTACATTTAGAAAAAAATTGTGTAAAATGAGGGAAACATTAAAAAATATACTTAAAAGGAAACGATTTTAATGATAAAAATGTTTAAAAAAATAAATTGGTAATTTAATGATAAAAAAGAGTAGAAAAAATGTTTAGTTGTTTAGGTAATCGAAAAATAAAAATAATAATAAAAATTTGTTAGATTTTTATGAGGAGATAAAAAAATAGGAGAGATTAGGAGGGGTGGAGGGGACCACGAGGAAAAGAACTCTTAGGGAACTTGTGAAAAGAGGAGTATATCCCCAGTAAATTCGGATAATCTGAGGATAAAGATAACAAGCCAATTTGGATGGGGAGATAAAAAAGAGGGAGAGACGAGAGAGGTAAGGAGACAGGGGGTGAGCGCAAAAGACAATCTCAAAAAACGCAAGACGCAAAATGCAACGCTAAAATTTAGCGCAAATAACGCAAAACGCAATGCGCCCACCCCTGGAATGAGGAAAGGAACTCTCTTCGGGAACTTTTAACTATAAGAGACTACATCCCCTGAAAATCCGGATAATCTCAGGATAAAAATAACAAGCCAATTTAGATGGGGTTGATAAACTACGTGGAGAATATGGGAAGACTAGGAAATTAAAATAGGGGTGGGAACTGTTAAATAAGAGGAGAAAACGATGGGGAACATTTAATTAATAAAAATATCTTGTATATCCCCATATATCCGGATAATCTGAAGAAAAGGATAACTGGCCACGATAGCCAATATCTCCTAAAACAGAATAAGAATAATAAAAGAAGTGTCAGAAAATCTTGTTTAGTGTTAATTAAAAGTAAAATTGAAGGGTAGAATATAGCAGCAGAAAAATAAAGGATATTACCCTAAAAATAAATATTTTAAAGGCTTTATGACGCCCAAAACAATTTTTATATTTTTATTATTTAAAAGAACACGGATCTGAACAACAATTTAAAAATAAATTATATTTTACTAGCTTGTAATTGAACCGGTTTAGAAATTTTCTTAATCGCCGCATAGTATCTCTTTTCCTTGGAATCTTCCCCAGCAGCCTTCTCCTATAAATCATCCCCAAAAATTATTTTTAAGTTCTAACAATGTACTTATCCCCTCTATTAATTGTTTTGATGAGAAAGAATGAAAAAGAATCAAAACAATTAAGCAGAACAAGGTTTTTATTCGGCTTAAAATGATTAGGGGGAAAGTTGTTCCGTGTTTAACATCAAAAAATAAGAACAAGATTTTTTAGAAAATAAATAAAAATAATTAAATAGATAAAGCTGAACTTTTTTTTAGCAAAAAAGATAAAGAAAAAGCGTCTCAGTTCTCCAAGGTGAACATGCTAGATTGTGCAACTTCATTTTTCAATGAAATAAGAAGCTAATACAATCATCATTGACGCTTAAAGATTAAACAAATTACAAGATGGAAGATACGAACTTATGACATAAAACTAGCTAATGTTTAGCCTTAACCCACTACACCACAGCAATACACAACAAAAGATTTTAAAAAATAATTTAAAAGATTGAAAAAGAATTATGAACTATAGGGTGGAAATAGTTTAATAAAATATTAAATTTAAAAAATAATTATGGCACTAAATTGGATAGATTTTACTCCTTTATTAATTTTATTATAATATTTTACCATATTTATTCATTATCATATTTTTGAAATACCTAATCTTCTCTATTATAAACTCCTTCACAAATGTTGTATCTAAACGGTTGTTCATTCCCATAAGAAGGAGGGAAGGGAGGGATGAAAGGAGGGAGCGAGCGAGGAAGAGAGGGAGGGAGCGAGTGATGGAGAGAGGGGAAGTGAGTTGTTCATTCTAATAAGAAGAGACCGGACCGAGACGAGATATCGATCGGAAATCTGGGTTATTGAGATAAAGATTTTTCGATAAATCTCGATTCTCATACGACACTTCCAGTCCTCTTTATTCATAAGAAGAGAGGGGAGGGAGAGGGAGGGAGGGAGAGGAGTGAGGCTACATTTATAAACAAAGCATACTGTAATTAAGATAAAAGTTTTCCCCTACCTTAGCAGAAGATCCACCATATAGAGAAGGTGGTTGTTGTAGTGGAGGTAAAGAATAGAGAGGAGGTAAAGGAGGCAATTCTGACGAAGACATTGACTCTAAAATAAAATTTTTAAAAATTTTTAAAGTAAAATAAACGCTAAAATGACAAATATCTTTAAAAAAGAATCAATGTAGCGCCGATAAAATGGCAGAAAGCCGTAAAAAGTATATAGGGTTTTTGCGCAGAATTTAAGGTAATAAAAGTAAAAGGAGAAATGAAGGACGACGATATTTAAAATTTCAGTACAAAAGACCTTGGAATATTTTGAGAAAATGTTTTTGGTTATTTAAAGAAAAATACCAGCTGGCTGAAATTTTTTATTTTTGATTTTAAAAATATTTATGAATTAATTAAAGAATGCAAGCAAGCGCAGGCAAAAAAGAGAGGCCATAGCAGAATTGAACTTTTGGTTAAGTGGGTAAGAGCCCAGACTACAAAATCCCGCTTAAAGTTGGGGCACGGGTTCGAGCCCTTTCATGGATAAAGGATGTTTTTTTTTAATTAATTACTCGACAATTTAATTAATTTTTATTTCTCTAATTTATCAATGAAATCTTGATAATTTTAAAATTAGAGAATGATGAAAATTTTCCTTTGATAAACCAGAGAAAAATTTAATCAAATCAATGAGCAATTAATTAACAAAAATTTTTTTTGTAATTTTATAGTGTGTGTTAATTTAGGTAGAACTAAGAAAAAATATTTTTTTGCCAAGGTTTATGATTAAAGACTTTGAAAATAAAAATAAATTTGCATTAAAAAAGGAGTAGAAAATGGCTAAAATATTACTAAAAAATTCCCCTAATTTTTATAAAAATTATTCTCACGTTGAAATCCACCAAAACCACTTCTCTGAGGCCATAAACTATCATAAAATGGTGAATGGAACCAATCATTACTCGCCGAGAAAGGCTTGTAGGTATCTGGATGTATTTTAATTGGAATATTTCTTTCGCCATTGGCTGTTGGCCTTCTTTTGTCTTCTTGAGTGCTTCTGGAAGATGGACGTTCCTTTAAGGCTATTGGATGAATAGTCCAGGCTCTATCTTCTTCCTTCTGCCTTTCTTCCATCTTAAAATAATTTTTGAAATTTTAAAAAATTTAGAATTAAATTTAAGTAAAGATGAAGTTTTGATTAAGTGACAGCTGGTCCCACGCTTATAAAATGGCCATTTGGTTAGCTAAAATTACCAAATTTTACAAAAATATAGCTAATAGTGTTAGCTAGCTATCCTAAAATTTTTAGAATTTTTGGTTTTGGAGTTTTAGAGTTATGACCTAAAAACCGGACTTGAATGAAAATACTAGAATTTGTGATACATTTTCGTCCATAACTACGTAACCAAAAATTATGAAATTTTCAATAAAGGTAGAAGACACCTTTTAGGATAAATATGCAAAATTTCAAGTTTCTAGCTCTCAAATAAAATATTTTATAAAAAAATTTCTAGCCCTCCTCCCTTACTTTTTTCCGTTCAGATTCAATCCATCTATAAGAAGGTGGAGGGACATAATTATTAATAATTCCATTCTCCTTCCCTTCTCCTTCAACCGCAGCTCCTTCTTGACGTTTTCTACGTTCAATAGATTCTTTTTCAGTCTCAAAATTTTTTGGCAAAGTTGCCCCATAACCATGCAAATAACTTGTTAATCTTTCATTTCTACCCCACAAAGGCAATACTGATTCGGGTGAAGAAACTGGTGGAAGTGTTGGTAGTGGAGGTGGAGGAGGTTCTTCTTGTCTTAAAGAAACGGGGAAAGAAGATCCATTCAGAGGAAGATTTGTAGTAGTTAATTTATTAGTTAAGCCATTAGAAGTAGTAGTAGATGGGGGTGGGGGAGGTAAAGGCATTGGCTCTTCTTCTTCCTCCCCGTAAGCTTTTTGAATATATGCTGGCGATGAGGAAGATGTTGATGAGGCTCTGGAAAAATTTTTTTGAATTTATTTTGATAAATCTTAGAACGGGGGAAGTTCTCAAACTTCTAGTGAGAGAATGGTGACGTGGGTTCGTGTGTAACTTTATAAAATAGCTAAATGAGAATTAAACGAGAATTCAGATCAATTTCAGATCTAAATGAAAATTCAGATCAAATAACTTTGGCAAAAATTTATTAGATCAGGTTAGCTATCAAGTCTAAGAATTTCAGAATTTTTGAGGGAGAAATAGCAAAAATTATTGGAGAAAGTATTAATTTATTCTAGAAAACTAACGATTTTACTCGGGTTTCTGACCATAACTTAAAAAATACGAGACGAAAAATTCTGAAATTTTTAGAGAAGATAGTAAACCCTATCAAAAATAATCAGAGAAAAATTCATATCTCTAGGTCTATTATTTAATTGCAATTTATGAGTTAGCGCCCAGATAGACCTGCGCCCATACGACCATTCATACCCATACGACCATTCAGAAATATATCAAAATCAGAATTAAATCGAATCAGAATTTTTAAAAAAATTCAAAATTTTACTTTTCTGATTGTTTCTTAGACATTATATCACCAATTCCAGTAGTTAACATCCCATTAGCACCATTTCGTTGAGTTGAATCAAAATCTCTCTCAATAATATTTTTAGTACCACCGTTAGTTAACCCAACTAAAGTGGATGAAGACAATATTGGAGAAGGTAAAGAAGAATAAAATTCTTGAGAAATATTTTCAGTTTCTTTTGTGGGAATTGAACAAATTGAATGATCAAGTGATTCACGGCTTCGGTCAAGGTTAATTGACATTGATGGAGATGAAAGGCGGCCATCCTCCCTTTAAAATGAGAGATAGGAAAAAGATTAAATTAAACGGTAAAGGGTTGGATAAAGGGTTGGACCTCGAGAGGGATAGGGAAGAAAATTAATGCTTACCCCTGATCGTGATAACCCTGATGGACTTGAGGATTGAATGAGATTCGAGATCGATATTCCTGACGATATCCGATATCCGAACCAAAAACTTTCTCCGGACTTTTTCAGGTTAGGATATCCGAACCCGCTAGCCTTACTTATACAGAAAGGGATAGGAAGCCAGGTTATTTTTTATTCCTGATTCACTTAAGGATTGATGGATTAGCGAGAATAATACTCCGAAAATCTGTCATAACAATCTAGGTAATTTTTAGAGATCGTCTCGATCAGGTCTAGGATTTTCTAGATCAGGTCCACCAATCCTTAAGTGAATCAGGAATAAAAATAACCTGGCCTCTTCTCCCTAGATCAGATCTCGTCTAAATTTTTCAGTTACGTCCAGCCCTTGTCTTGATTCGATCCCTTGGATGTTATCAACGTGTAATTAAAATTTCAGTTCACTCGTTGACCTAATTTTAACAAGGATATCAATCAAACTTCCCCCTACTCAGCAAAAACTTAGGAAACCCGTCTCTCATTCAAGATTGTCAAAAAATAATTATTAGGTAAATTTTCATTTTCCCTACATTGGTGGAGGCATAGGAATGTGTTGGTCAGCTAATGATGCGAAAAGTTCCCCTTGATCTCTATCCGCATCAGAGGGATGTTGGAAAAGCATAGCTGCTGTTGAATACATTTTCTTTTCCTAAAAAGGAGTTTTTTGTTAAATAAAATTGGGAAAAATTAGGAGAATTAGGAGAATTTTTGGTTATTTTTTCGTGTTTTTGTTAAAATAATATGTAGAATAAATAAATGGAAATGATTTAAGCATGGATATGAAGTCGCTTTAAGTAATTCTTCTTAAACAATTTAGTATAGAGGTTTGATACATAGTTAATAGTTCATGGACGCGTTTGAGAACCTCTTTTAGAACCTCTAGTTCAGAAAAGGTCGAGAACATAAAACCTCTAAGAAACGAGCCCAAGTGCCAGTCTCATACAAGTCAAGGATGTCTCGATTTAAGAAAAAAGACAGGGTTGAATTTCAGTTAACCTGAGACATCCCTGTAATCCGAGTCTGATTTCAACAAAGTCCTAATGCTAGGACAAGAACACTTCCAAATAACTCTAGATCTAAATAACTCTAACTTTAAGGATCAAGTCTGAGAGGTAATCGAGTTTGAGAGGTAGTCGAGTCTGAGAGGTAATCAAGTCTGAGAGGTAGTCGAGTCTGAGAGGTTTGGATCAGATAAAGTAGGAAAGGTAAAAACCTCGAAAAACGAGTCACTTCGAAATAACTCTACTCTAATACGAGTCACTTTGAAATAACTCTAGATCTAAATGACTTAACCTTGAGGATCAAATCTGAGAGGTAATCAAGTCTGAGAGGTTTGGCTCAGATCAAGTCTGAGAGGTAAAAACCTCGAGAAACGAGTCGAGTTTAAGCTCGAGAAACGAGTTTAAGAGAATTGAGTTTAGGCCCAAATATAAAGTTTAAAATAGGCCGTTAGTTTTATCTTTGAGAGAATACAGTAGCTTTAGTAATAAAATTTGCTTCAAAAAGTGTAAAGGAAAAAAATAATTTTTTTAGTTTCTGTTTTGTGAAAATTAAAGAGGGTAATCGGATGATGGACAAAGTAGTGGCCATAAGAATATGTGGGGGGAAGTAGGAATGAATTGATTAAAAGGGGGAATGACACATAAACCCGATGACACATACAACGGACAAATCATTTTTGCTTTAACCTGTAAAAATATGTAAATAGATAGGAGAAAATATTGCTTATTATTTGTGAAAATGTGGTCAACTATAAAATTCGATGCAAGGGAATTATGATATAACAACACATCTCGGGGCCAAATTTCGTAGACGGTATAAGGAAATAGAGATCAAGCTGGGTCTGGACCAAGGCCTGGGTTTCCTGTACCCAGAGTCCAGGCCCAGGTATTTTTTGACCTTCCTGGGTTTTTCCTGGTGGACACTTCTCGAGACCAAGCCCAGAAATAATAAATCAAACCCGGAACCCAGGAACAGGCCCAGGCTTTTCAAAAATCTCGATCTCTAGAAGGAAAGGAACGTGGGATACTCGAAGATCTCGCAAGAACCGCCTAACCTATCCGGGACCCTTGTTTGTTTGGAGGTGACGATGGAAGGAAAGAAACGTGGGATTTACAAGTAAAAAGCGTTGGACAAGCTATGTAGGTACAAAAATATTGGCCTATTATAATTGATCAGGCACAGCATCTTAACTGTTACTTTCAGCCTTAACTTTATCTATTTTAAGATGCTGTGATCAGTAGAGATCGGTATGGATTTGGATCCAGTCTGGATTTTTCCTGGATCCAGAGTCATTATTTAGGCATTTTTTTGAGCGTCCTAGATTTCTTCTGGATCTGGATCTTTCCTAGATCCAGATCAAGAATCCTGTTCAGGTTACTAACCTAAATCCAGATCCAGATCCAGGATTTTTGAAAATACTAGAGCCCGGACCGATACGATATTTTTTCGATATTTTTCGGTATTTTTCGATATATATTTTTCGATATTATCGAAAAAATATCGACCGAGCCCTCCGTCCGGGCTCTAGAAATACCGATCTCTAGTGATCAGGCAATGAATTCAAAAGGGATTAATAAAAGAGGTTTAAAATAGATAAATAAATTTAAAATAACTAAATAGTAGCTAAGATATAAAAAAATTAGAGAAAGCACAAATTAACAAAAATGATTAAAACACAAATATTTTAATTTGAAAAGCAAAGAAAACATTTGTGTGAATAAAAACAAAGAAATCGCGCTTTACAATAAAATTTATAGCAATTCAAAGATTAAAAATAAAATAAGAAAAAAATGTTGATTTTTGTGCTGACTAATATTTTTTAAATTACCTAGTGAATTTTACAAATTTTTGTTGTCAATTTAGAAATATTTAAAGTAAAAAATAATTAAAGTTAAAGTCAAAAATCAGAATAAAAAATCAGTTAAAAATATTTGAGAAGTACATAAGCGATCAAAAGCCATCAAACTAAAGCCCGCAACGCAAAAATAAAAATTTCGAAAATCTAGAATTGCTTTAGACAATGGTCAAGGCTTTTTTTTCAAACAGAGATTTTCAGAGATAAGTTAGAAAATAAAGCTACAAAAGAAGATGGGAGAATGATACTGAAAAAAGATCCGAAACTGATGATACCTAGGAGGGATTTTATTCGAGTTAAGCTCTTGCCTTCTTTTTCTCTCATTTTTAACAAAAATGATAATATTTTTTCATCAATTTTGCGGCTTGAAACGTGAGTTTTGAGCCTTATGGGCGTCTAAAAATTTTCAAAATTTCGGCTGCGGTGAGTTTTAAGCCGTAATCCTTGGATTCTGCATTTCCAATGAGCAAATTCCTTTCAGGCGTAATTCTAATTATTTTTAAGCGCTAAAAACAATGCCCGCTTTTTTCCCTCATTTTGAGAAGCCATGCCCCCTTTTGGTGATTTGGAAAAAGCTTAACTCGTATTTTACTAAATTTGATCATAAAAATTTTTAAATAAATTATTTCAACCATTAAAATTAATTTAAAAAGTTCTAAGACTAAAAAAAATTTTCCTATCTTTACAGAAAAAATTTTTTCCAATTTTTTTTATCTTGCGGATTAAAATTTGCGGATCTTTTTTTGAATAATCCAAAAGCTTATTAAATTAAAAAATGGAATGGTTAACTATTTAAAAATTTTTTAAAAAATTTGATAACGATATAGAAAAGGTATTTAACTGAAAAAAACATCTAAAAATTAAAAAAGATCAAAAAATAGTAAAAAAAGGTATTTATTTTCTGTGTTCTTGCTGTGTAAAAATAAAAATGGGGGCATATATTTGCCCATTACTGCTCGACAATTTTTTTTTCTTCCATTTTTCATTTTTCTCTTCATTTTTTCTACTTCCCTCAACCCCAAAAATGTGTGTACTATTTGTCGAGAACCTCCAAAAAAGGTCAACCTTCCCCTCAATATCCGCTGGTCAGTGACGAGGAACTGTCTGCATATTTTTTAATTCTCGCGATTTCTATTGTCCGCACCAGAGGGAATCGATTTTGGAAGGAATATTGTAGTTGGACTTTTAAAAAGAAGAATTAAAAATAAGGAAAGAAAATGATATAGGTAATCTGAAGGAAGATGAATAAGGGGATCCCACAGTGGAAGAAAAAAATAATTGAGAGGGTGAAGGTCATTTTTGGATTAAATAATAAGATAATTGACAATTATTATTAAACTCTTATAAATTAAAAAAATAAAATGTTGAAATAAACGATCAGAAGTCCGCAAAAATAAAAATCCGCAATCATAAAAAAATGTCCGCAAACTAGAACAATGTCCGCAAATTTAATCCGCAAAAATAAAGATTAATTAAACCTTGGATTCTGAATTTTCATAATCCTAGGGCAAATGGTTGTGAACTTTTCACAATTTTAAATGAATCGTCTGGGATTGGCCATAAGAGAGAGAGATATAAAGGTGATAAGAGATATCATTAATTATAATGTAACTGTAATATAATAAGAGATTAACCAGATTTTGTTGAAAATTAAATTCAAGAAATTTCCAAAAATTGAAAAAATTCCAAAGGTACAAAAAAATTATTATGAGCTCGACAATAGAGATCGAGACTTTGAAAAGCCTGGACCTGTTCCTAGACTCTGGAGTTTGATTTATTGACCTGAGCCGGATCCTGTGCCTGTAGTCCAAGAAGAGTTCAGGCCAGGAAAACCCAGGAAGCTCAAAAAATGCCTGGATTTGGACCCTGGGTACAGGAAAAACCCAGGCCTTGGTCCAGCTCGAGCTCTACTCGACAACTAAATAATTCTCTTAAATTTCTAAAATGAGAGGAAGTACCATAACCCAAAAAATAATATTTTTTTATTAAATTATTTATTCCCCCCACCTCTTCCCGCTTTACTTCATCTTCCACTTCCAAAGCTTTTTTAGTTTCAAATATTTTTTCTTTTTCATCTTCAAAAGTAACTTTTTTATTTTTTTCTTCCCCTTCTTCTTCATTAATTATAATTGTATCGGTATCAGAGATTGGAGTAATACCGTCACGTGCTGTTTGTTCGGTGTCTTCTTCTGCTTCACTATTTTCTAAACTGACACCTTCCAAATCAAGTCGAGGCACTTTTGGACTAATTTTCTTAAATTTAAACTTAGTTTTTTTAATCCCAAGAATTTTTGAGAGGATATTCTAAGGCCCTAGAAGCTGAAAAAATTCTTCAGTCTGTTTGGGAGGTGGATAAAATGAGGATTTTTAAGAATTCGAAAAGTTGAGTTTAAATGGGTTTTAGGAAGTATTTTTTAATGACCACTAGTAGGCATCGGACTGAGATGAGATTAGCTACCATTTTAAATACTCCAATTTTTAAATACTCGAATCCTGATATAACGCACTCGAAGGGATCGAAGTGAAGGTCTGTTAGGTATATTTAGGTTTAGCTGATCCAGGTACCCAAATCCAAAAATGTCCAAATATCCGATAATTTTCGGTACGGATATCGGATCCAGTGATCCTGGGAGTTCTCAGAATCTGTAACACTATATGTAGCGGTTCATTAAGTCGAGTTATTTTAGAAAGAAATCTCAACAGGTACTAATAAAAAGGTTGATATTTCGAGAGATTTGTTAAATCGAGGGGGTCACTCTATCGAGGTTTGACAGCTGAAGGCCCCTTAAGTTCATGTAAAAAAGCTTCTTTAAACAACCAACTTCTTTGTCTTCCTCGTCTTCAGAATTATCCAATTCAACAACTTTAGCAACCGAACTTTGACTAGAACCTCCAGCACTTTGTTGTCTTTCAAATAAAAATTTAAAAGGCATTTTTGGAAGATTATCTTCCTCAATATCCTCTTCCTTCTTTAGTTCCTCTTTAATTTCAGGGGAAACACTGGGCCTTAAATGGAAACGAGCAGTTGAGGCACGACTGGATGAGGCACTTCTTAATTCGTCGCTATCTTCCTTTAAAGGATTTTTTGTAAATGAAAAATTATTGGGAAAATTTATGAAATTTTGAAAATTTTTTTGAAATTTTTTTTGAAAATTTTTTGAAATTTTTTTGAAATATTTGAAAAATTTTTTTGAAAACTTTTGAATTTTTTTTTTTGAAAATTTTTAAAAATTTTTTCGAAAATTTTTTGAAAATTTTCTGAAAATTTTTTTAAATTTTTTTGAATTTTTTTTTGAAAAATTTCCCCAAAATCGACCTCAGCTATAGCATCTAAACGTCCAAAGAGTGGTGGTTGATTTTCATCTTCCTCCTCTTCCTCTTCAACCTCTGCAGGTTTAAACATAAAAAAGGGTGGTGGGGGTGGAGGAAGTTGTTGGGGTTGTTGTCCATTTCCAAAAACTTGTTGTTGCCTTCGTTCCATTCTTACACCAATAGTTTCTATTTGTATTGGGGGCGATTCTGGAGTTGCAATCTTTAATTAATGGTTTAATTAATTAATAAGCTAATTTAAAAGGAGGTTAAAAAGAACAAGGATGACTTCCCTTGAGTTCAAGCAATTTATGGAGAGGGAAGGATTTTCTCAGTCGTGTATAGGGTTGTCAGATCCTGGGCAATTTCTGGATCCGATCCGAAAATCCCGAATATCTGGAAACTTTACAGATCCGGATCTACAACTCTAGTTTTGTATTACTAACATATTCCCTGAAGGAAAAATAGATCAGGATCTTGTATATCTGAATCGATTCAATTCGACACTGAGGTTATCCTATTGAAAATCTAGGTCTTAAAAGATTAATTCGAGAACAACTCCAGAGATTCAGAGTAATTCCCTATTCCCCTGGCCTTTTAAATAACCAAGAAGGATAATTCTCTAAATCACCTTCTCTTCAGATTCTTCTTTCATCTCATCCTCTCTCTTCCCCAATTCTTCAGTTGTTATTTTAGGCATAGTGTCTGTGTGTAATAAATTACTGTCTATTTTTAAAGAAGGCTTCTTCCCATCTTCTTCTCTTTCAAGAGAAGACTCTCTGGAAGAGGATGAAGACGATGAAGAATTTTTCTCTTCTTCCCCTTCCCTTTTATTTTTTCGTTTCTTCGTTTTCTTCCTAATTCTCTCATTTTCCTCTTTTTTGTTGTCTTCTTCCATTATTGCAAAATTAAAGTCGTCTTCAAATTCTTCCAAAAATGAAGAAGTTGAAGAAGCGGAAGAATCAGTTATCGCTAATCTTCTATCAAATAAAGATTGCGAAATTGCCCAGAGGGTCTGGAAGAAATAATTAAATTTACTTTAAAAATTTTATTTAAAAATAGTTCCGTATATGCTCGAATAATTCCCCTCTCAAATAATTGCCCCCTCTCGAGTAATTACCCCCTTCTACCTGTTGAAACAATAATTACCATCGAATGTTTGGCTTTCAAATACTGGATAATCCCCTTTCAATTAAATACCCTCCGCATCGAAAGGTTTGAACCAAAGGTGAGGTCGGAATGTCGATTTCCGAAAAAAATTTTGATTTCCGATTTCCAAGTTCAGACTTTTGAGTCAGTTCCGATTTCTCGGCTCTTCCTATTTACGACACCTCTGACTGTTCCGACCCATCTCTGGTTAGAACACATGGTAATTATTCAAGCATATACGGTTGGTATAACTCAGAAAATGGACAAGAATTATGCTTAAAATTTAGTCAATATCTGATTTCTTAAAATTTTTTTTTGAGATTTTTTAAAATTTTCGTCGGTTTCCTATAATTTTATTAATATGTTTCAAATAATTTAAATAATTTATTTATATTTAAATAAATAGAACAGAGAAAACGGGAATTATAACTACTAGATATACATTGCGCAGTGTAATGAGGCATTGGATAAATTTTTTATATTTTTGATTTGTTTATTCATTTGCACTAATATACGGGAATGGGGTCGCAATTCGAAAATTTATATAAGAATAATAAAATAAAAATAAAATTTACTAATAGAGGAATGTGAATGGAAGAGGGATTTTATGTAGTAGAGGGAAGTGTATTGAATAAATTAATTTTGAAAAAAAATTCCGGAAAAAATGAATTGAACTTTTAAGAAAGGGGTAGATATTGTTATTTTAAGAAAAAAATGAGAACAATAAAAGCTAGGTTAAAAATAAAAAAAATTAGAAAATGGAAGAGTAAAACTCTTATGGAAGTAAGGAGTACTACTGACCAGCTAGACCCTTTTTGGCGTGAGGTATAAATCGGAATCGAGTTTAGGGCAATCTCGGGTTTAAAGAAAATTTGTAGAAACAATAATAATTTATTTAAAAAAAATTCTGGAGACTCGATTCTGATTATAATCGTACTAAAAGGGGTTGGTTTATTAGTATAACTCTCCCTTGGATATAATAAAGCCTGATCTGGGCTGTATTATAAATCGGAATCGAGTCACTAAAATTTTAAAAATACTTACCGTAAATGACTTTTAGAATGGGATGAATTTTAATTAATTTTAGAAAATTGATATTTAATTTTGGTAATAAATTTTAGTTTTGAAAATATTTAGACAACGAAAAAATATGCCCACTCTAAAATAAGTCCCTTCTAGAGGGCGCTCGAAAAAAGATAAGCCCCAGGGCTTAACCTAGAGGATTATTATTATTTTTTAGTAAACTTTTCCTAATATTGTAGAAAATATTAGGACCAAAGAAAAATTTTTTTCGCCTTAAAAGGAATAAGAAATTAAGAATAAAGTCTAGAGGGCACCCAAAAAATAATAAGCCCCGGGGCTTATCTTAAAGGATTTAAGGTAACATTATTATTTTTTTGGTTAATTCTTCTTAATATTTTCGAGAACATAAGGACCAAAGAAAAAAATTTTTTACGTCTTAAAAAGAATAAAAAATATAAAAAATAATCGAGAGTCTTCCCTCATTACAAAATTTTATTATTTTTTTAACTAAATTGTTTTTGTTTCTATTTGAGGGAAAATGGGAGAGAGAGAAAAAAATTAATTTTAGGACCAGCCTGATTGATTCTCTTGATTTTTTAGAATAAAAGAGAAGAGGCATTGTTAAAATAAAAAGGGTTTTCCGTTTTTATTCATACCAAAAATGGATTGAAAAGAGGGAAGGTGTGGAATTTGGTGGTGAATTTTACTAAAGAAAGGAGTATATATTTTAGGACCAGCCGAGCGTAAAACGTAAAAACGTGGAGAAAAATAAAGAAAAAAATTAAAATTAGAATTAATAGATAATTAAAAAAATTTTTTGGTAGATAGGAAAAATAGGGAGGTAGGTAAATGAGACAGCAAAAAAATTAATTTTAAATTAGAGAAAGAATAATTGGAAAATTGGGAAATTTATAGAGCTGTCCAAGACTATTGGTCTTGAGTCTTGATTCCAAGAACTTTCTTGGGTTTTTTTGGTCTTGGGGTCTAGTCTTTGTCTTGTGTCTTGGTCTTGAGGTGTAGTCTTGGTCTTGAGTCCTGGAAAATTTTTGGTATTGAACCGCGCTAGAAATTTATTCGATCAAATTCTTCCCTTTTTCCTTCATCTAAAATTCCTCTCCTAAAATTTTTACAAAAAAATTTTTTTTTGGATTAGGGCCAATAATAAAATCAACGATTATTTTAAATGTGTTTTGATCTATTCTTTTACGTGACTCTTTATTTTTGACTCTTTATTTTAAAGAATTAAAACTTTTCTTTCTTTTATTTTATTTTGACTGCGCGAGTCGTTTAATTGATTGCGCAAGTCACAAATTTAAGAAAGAAAATTTAAAAGAATTTTCTATCCCTTTATTGGATACCTAAATCCCTGACTAATCACAGATCTCTGTCTTATCAGTCTTATCAACTGGCAGCATTTAGAATGTTTAGTACAGGGATTAAGCGAACTAATAGGACAAAAGAGAACGAAAGCCCAATGGCCTAGCATATGCCAAGGGCCTCCTCTTCCTCGTGAGCCTCTGCAGGTCTAAACATTAAAAAAGGAAAAGCCTAGAAAGCGCTTCAGAAGATCGCAAGTTCGATTCCTGACAGGTGGGGTTAAAACCTTCCCTTACTATACCTTCCCTTGCTGTACCCCTATTTTTTAAAAATATCCCAGCTTCCCAGTATTCCCTTTCTCGTGCTTGGAGACGTTCTAAGAAGATTAGAAACGGATTAAACTATTCAGGAATTAAAAAAATATTTTTGTAAATTAAAATATGTCAATATTTCTTTTATTTACATCATGTAAACAGATGTAAATATTGAGGAAAAAAAGAAAAATGAGGGGAAGGCTAATTTGAACAGTAAAACAAATAAAATGAGCAAGTTGGTAGGTAAAATAAATAAATAGATTTTTAGTACAAGGACCGAACAAACCAAAAATCGGTAAATAAGAAACATAAAATGACATTAAGATGATGCGCGATTTGTTTTAAATTTGACGATTAAATTAGGATACTATAAATTGGATATTGTGTCAAATTAAAAAATTATTTTTTATTTTATCATATCCCTGGGAGCTCAAAAACAGTGACAACATCGGAGGTTCGTTTCCAAGGGCTGACCCTCATTCCTGCCCGATGGCTTCCTCCCCCTTGATTAGATTCCTCTCCAATGGTTGATAAAATAAGAGGCAGATTTTTATTTATTTAATCTCGATATTAGGGCCCAACGGGGAGGGAGGAGGGAGGCCACAAGGAAAATTTTCGGGGAGGCAGAGGGGGCGGAGAATTTCAAGGCAACTCTCAAATTTCCCAACTTTCGGGGACTCGATATCACATATTCCCGATATCGCGCCTCTTTTTTTATTACAAAGAAAGAGGTTCCAACAATTTGGTTCCAAAGGTTGACCCCGTCCTATAACATCCTATAACATCCTAACAAGATTCGGCTTTATCAGAAAATCATCAACCTATTCTTAATACCCCTCCCAAAATGAGGGAAAAACCATTGTATTTTTTAAAGAATGCCTACTCTTAAAAATAAATATATCGGTATTGGATGGAGGGGTAAAATAAAAAATTCTAAATAAAAAAGGAATATGTATTCGAATTTAAAATTGTTTTTTAAATGATTTATGAAATGACTGGTAATATAATAGAGAAGAGAAGAAAGAAAAATGTTGCGAAATTAATCAGCCTGTGGAGTGATTAATCTGTTTTTTCCTCGCCTCCTTTCCAACCTCTCTCCATTTTTAAATAAAGAAAGAATGGGTTGATAGAGAAGAATGATAAAACAAAAGAAAAAGTTAAAACACAAAAAAGATAAGAGAAAATATTTTTTAGAAAAATAATAATGAGATAGATCTCAATCAAGGCTGGTTATGGAAAAATCAAGGCAAATGTAGGACTTTTTCCCGGGAGCTAGCTGAGCCATACCCAGCCATACCCAGCACTAGGAATCGGAGCCAAGATTTTGAAAACCCAAAAGTCGAGACAGGAACCAAGATTTGGAAAAGGTCGGAGCCTGAGCCCCAGCACGGCTCTCAATCAGGACTGCACGCAATTGAGGATTGCGTTTGCTGATTTTAAAATTAAAATCGTGAGTTGCGGTTTGCGGCTGAGGAAATTTTTTTTCATTTGCATGCAGCACGCATCTCTCAATATTTAAGGTAAAATTAAAGATCCTATATAATCTTTTTAAAAATCAAAAAAAAATAATTTTTATTTCAAAATAATTCAATAAAAAATATTTTTATAAAAATAGGAGGAGAAAAGATAAAAAAGGAAAATGAAAGGCAAAATATGTAGCAAGAAACAACAGATTTTAAGCTGTGTTTGGTGCTAGGCACGTGTATATATGGAGAAAAGAAGAAAAAATATTTTTTTTCTCTTAAAATACCTGGCAGGTATGTATGTTTATTTTTATTTTTGGCCATTGTGTGTGTGTGTGTTTTGCTTAGTGCGCGCACTTAAAACGATGAAAAGAGGTGCTTGAGGGGGCTGATCTAGAAGATATTGAGACAACAAATGTAAGACTCTTTTTGCTTTTTATTTAAATTTCTTCAACAGTCTAATGTTCCCCCCCTTATTTTAATAAAAAATCTTTAAACATCCGCAAATAATATCCGCAAAGACCCGGATATTCACGGATACGTGCGGATTAAGGATTAAGCCGTGTTATTAAGGATTAAGCCGGATTAAGCCGTGTCCCACAAAATACGAGACACTAAATTCACGAGATACTCAAAAAATACGAGATTTCACGAGATATGAGACACGAGATACGAGACTAAGCCCACCCCTGAGTGTGGATGGAATTTTGAAAAGAATACGGATAGGAAGTCCATATCCGCCAAATAACCTCAATCTCCGTACACATTAGAGATACAAATTGACTCTGGCATTTCCTTGAACCTGACAGAATTTTTGACTATTTTATTGGGGAAAAATTATAGAGGAGGATGGGGGGGGGGTATTTTTAAATATCATTTTAGAAATATTTTTATTTAATAAATTAAAATAAGGACCAAAAACACAGCAACCGCCATTCGTATAAAGGCTTGAAAAAAGTTTGCCTCAGAAGGAGTTAAATGAGAATTGGTTGCTGTTGTTGTTGCAACAACATTTGAAATTTCCGCGTCATCGCTAGTTTGAACATTATTTGATGAATGTTCTCGATTATTCATTCTCTTCGTGGATTCACTGAAAAATAGAAAAAATTTCTAGGAATTTTTTAAATAAAATTTTTTAAATAAAAATATAGTCTATAGTATTTAGATAACTTATGAGCTACATAATCAGTTTCATGGATAATCAGTTATTAGATATAATCAATTTTAAATTTGTTAGACTACTGAGTTGTATGTTCCGAATTAAACCTGCTCCATTTTAAATGGAAAAAATTTTTAGGAAGAATTCATTGTATAGGGGATGGAATCAGAGCTGCACGCAATTGCAGATTGCACGTTGCGAATTGCGTCAATTGCGTTGGTTTTTGCAAATGGGAGTTGCGGATTGCAGCTACAAATTTTTTAAAAAATTGCGTGTTGCTGAATATTTTTAGCGATTGAGTGCAGCATTGGATGGAATAGAACCATAATGGGAATGATGGTGTTCGATGCGCATGATATATCTATGTAAAACCGACTGTGCTACCATCCAACCCGATGACAGAGATTCTCATGGGGTTTTTTAATTAGTTTGGCAGCGATCCTATATTTTCAATGGGATGGTCCATAAATTAAATTCATCAATAATTGTTTTAAAATTAATCCCCTTCTTATTTTATCTGAATTATCTATTACACCAATAAAGCTATAAAATTAAAAATAATTTGAATGTGAATTTGGGGCAGCGAACGGAAACTACGAAAAAATTATTATCTAAAGAGGGAAGAAGCTACATATGATCTTATCTTTTTTGAGAAAAGTTTTCAATTTTCCTTTGTTTATTTAAAAAGGAATTCCAAAAATTAATGTTAATTGAAACCTGAATTATTTTAAAAATTACCCATCCCTTAGAAATTATTTTTTTAATAAATTGGAAGCCGCTTTTAAAATTCTCAAACAATTTTCGAAATAAATCCTGTCCGAATTATTTTTAAAATCTCAGTATTTAGCCAGAAAATACAACTATTAGGGATGGATCGAGTTAAGAAAAAATGTTGGGTCGTAAGTTCGGTTATCATTTCAGGTGGGACACGGCCAAGTAGGCGCGCGGCCAAGTAGGTGGAAAGCCATAGCTACCTGGATAACTACCTGGAAAATTTTTGCACCTTAACAATTTTGGTACCAATCTCTTTAGCTCGATGAGCGGAATAGTTTAATACTAAATTTTGAAAGATTCAGAAATCTTTAAGGAAGTTATGGCTTTGCGCCTACTTGGCCGCGCGCCTACTTTAGCTGTACCCATTTAAGGTAAGCTTACTCATCCCTTGTCTTTATTAAAGAGGTATCTAATTATAATTTTAATTTAAATTCGAAATTAAAAATTATTTAAGAAGTGTCTATAATAGAAGGAGAATGTAAAAATATTTTTAAAAAATTATATTTTTATTCTAAATGGACTACCACCCTTATTTTTCCCAATTTTCTCGCAGATTTGCTATTCACAAAAAAAGAATAATTTTTTATATTAAATAAACACAAATACTTGAACTCTCTAAGACCTCAATAATTTTTCGGAAAAAATTTGTTATTGGATGAGCAAATTAAAAATAAAAAATAAAAAAAATATTTGAACGGTCAAGAAATGAAAAAGAAATTAATTTATAAATTAAAAAGAAATTAATAATTAAATTATTTAACTGAAAAAATCAGAAATTAAAATTCTGTTGCTTTTGTGAAGAGAAAAATTTTGAAATAAAATTCTGATTTTTAAAAATTATTTTATTAAAAATTAGAGTTGATACTTACATCAGAATTTTTAGTTTAATTCTGAAAAGCTTTTCCAATCAGAATTCTGCTTTTCTGATTTTCTTAAATTAGAGATTAGAATACTGAAAAATACCGATAAATACGAATAGAAATTTATAGAAATTCCTTAAAATTTATCTATTAAACAATGATTATTTTTATATGCATTCGTAGGGATAAAGGGGTATGAAGATAGATTTGGAGGGATATCGTATTATTTAAAGGGATATCGAATATTTGAATGGATCCCCCTTAATTGGATGGACATATATTAAGTAGGATATCGATAGATTTGAAGTGAGTAAGCGTGATTCTGAGATCGGATGATTAAGGTGGATATATTAGAGAAATTAGAAGGATTTAAAGGGGTATGAGGGGATTTTATTCTGATTTTATTCTGTTTATATTCTGATTTTATTCTGATTTTATTCTGATTTTATTCTGTTTATATTCTGATTTTATTCTGTTTATATTCTGATTTTATTCTGATTTTATTCTGTTTATATTCTGATTTTATTCTGTTTATATTCTGATTTTATTCTGATTTTATTCTGATTTTATTCTGATTTTATTCTGATTTTATTCTGATTTTATTCTGATTTTATTCTGATTTTATTCTGATTTTATTCTGATTTTATTCTGATTTTATTCATTTTCTTAAATCAGAATTTCTGAAATTATATATTATCAAAATTCTGATTTTTTTTCTGATTTTTAAATAAAGTTTATTTAATGCTAATGAATAAGGTTAGAGAAATAATTTTAGGGAGCAAAGAAAAAATACCAGAAATAAAAGCATAAATTTTAATTAAGAGGAAAGAATGGTTCCAGTTATAAAAATTAATTTATAATTTATTTATTTAAATATTTTTTTATTTATTTTTATTAATTATTAACTTATCAGAAAATTCACAAAAATTGTTGCCTTCAATATTTTCTTCCATTATTATTTTTCCATCCTCGTCTTCTTCATTATTATTCGATTCCCGAGTATCCATTATTGTATTTTTCAATGATCTCTTCAAGAAAAATAAAATAAAAATAATAAAAGAATAATAAAATAAAAATAATAATAATCAAAGCAATTTTGTACAAATATTATAATTTATTTAATTTTATGACTAGTTCTGAGGAGTAAAAATCTGAAAAGTTATGGAATATTTTCTGAAGTTTATTCGTAATTTTATTTTTGATTTTTTATATTTTATTTCTGAATTTTTTCTAAATTCATTTTCGCGTTGAATTTTAATTTAGTTCTAAATTACTCATTAATTCTGCAATTTTTTCTGGAATTTTTAAATAGGAACTTAACAAGGAACTTAATTTGCCCTAAATGGCAATCCATAGTCCCAATTTTTGAGGATAATTGACAACAAATTAAGCATAAATTCAGTTAGAGGATATACGGGGTTTAATTTTATAAAAACATGCTAATAATTATGCATGAAATGACGTAAAATTTTAATAAAGTTATGGCCTAAAAATTAAGGAATATGGCCAGAAACATGCATATTAGTGGCCATAACTTTATTAAAAATTTCCCGATTTTGATGTTGATTGTTTTAAAATGAGTCTATTTTTAATCTTAATTTTTTGAAATTAAAAATACTTCCTACATTCAATTATAAAAAGTTATGTTCAATACTTTCAAAAGTCGTATCCTCAAAAATCGGAAAGCCGGACAGTCAGAATAGCTAATTAAATAATTTTTTAGAACAAATTTTCTAACAGATTATTTCCAAAATTTTTTGACATACATTTAAATTTAAAATTTAGAAAAAATTTCAAAGAAAAAAGGGGACATTTATTTATCATCAAAAATAAAAAAAGCTTTTTTTTCCGTCCTAAAATTTATATATTTTCTTTCCTTTTAGTTTAAAAAGTATTAAAAAAGCTGACTGGACGTAACCGACTGTCAACATTAAAAAAAGTACTAGATAAATAAAAAAAAAGTTTTGTATGGCTTTTAATGGCAGTAAAAGTGGTTTGGGGGGGGGGGGGAGAATTTAGGGGGAAGGGGGGAATTTGAGAGATGATTTTGTGTTTGTATTTGGCTTTATTTCATTTTATTTTATTATTAGGAAGAGACTTTGGTTCAATATTCTCACGTATATGGAGAAATAATCATAAAAATAAATAATATTTTTCGTCAACCATCGATCAGTGTGGCGGAAATTAATGGAAACAAGCATTTTGGAAAGAAAAGGGGGAAAACTGCTCAAGAATTTTTAGTTTATAATTCCTTAATAATTAATTGATTTGTCTGTTATTTTAATTTTTGTTCATGTAGAAGTGTCTGGAAATGAAAAAAATTGAATTATTCAAAGTTTAATCGACCTAAGAGATTATTTTGTCCAAGGAACAATCAGTGATCCATGGATCATGGACTAATGATAGACCATGATTTAATAATCGACCTAAGAGACGTAACCGACTGTCCATGGAGCTCTTCCTAATCCATGGAGCTCTAAATAAGGAAAATTAAAAAGGAGGGATGATCTCTCTGTCTCCCGGAAAGAGAGAGAGGTTTTTGAAGTATACGATTAGCCCTGTAGTTTATTCGTCCAATGAACCCTTCTCCGGAAAGCTGATACGATTATCCGGCGAGTTGATACGATTTATCCTGAAAGCTCTCCGGAGTATGATGATCCATGAAACTCTTATCATCTTCAGTTTGCTTTATCAACAAAACTGGAGGAGACTTTCTCGACTTGAGTCATATTCAAATCCTTGTTTTTAAAGAAGAAAGACTAGAACGAAAGATTAAGTTGCAGTGATTCCGGAAAAAGAGAGAGGTCTCCGAAGTATATGGATGCAAAAAATGGTATGATCACCCTCTGTCGTTTCATAAGGAAATTCTTGACTTGAATCTGTTAACAACCAGTAACAAAATTTTTAATTTTAAAACAGCCGAGTTTAAGATTTTCATAAACTTTATTTTATTTAAAATCGTTCCATTTTTCATCCAACATGACAAAAATGATAATAAACTATAAAATAAAAATATATTAATAATTTAATTTACTTAATTTACTGTCCATTTCCAAAATAAAGAAAATAAATTTTTTTCAAAGAAATTTTTAAATATTCCAAAGAATTTGGAAGGTCATTCATTCCCTTTTTTCTACTAAAATATTAAACATTAAATGATTAATTTTTATCATTTTAATGTCTATAAAAACAAAAACAAAATTATTTTAGAAAAATTTTTCTTTGAAGCCTTAAATGTATTTTTAGAAAAATTCACGTGAATTAATTAAAGTTAGGACATATTTTTGGTTAGAATTTAGATATTGTCAAGCAGGGGTCGGTCAGAAATGACGAAGGTGTAGGAAATCCGAACTGCTGGAAATCGGAAATGGCTTAAAAGTCGGAACTCGAAAATCGGAAATCAGCCTAAATTTTCGGAAATTGGAAATCGGAAATCGGAATTCCGACCAACCCCTGCTGCAAAGTAACAATCAAACATATGTTTTCAAAAAGGGCTTATCACCCAATGATCTAAACAATCAACATCTTGAAACTAAAAAATTAAAATAAAAATTCAAACTACAGAAATTAAATTTGAAAAATAATTTAAGTACAATTTAGAAACTACGAAAAAGTAATTCAAATCATAATTAAAAAATTATAGTTTAAAGCTTCAAAGAATTTAAATGAGACTATATAATAACGTTGGCCACACAATAATTTTTTATACATATTTAATTTTATATTTAATAACTATTTGAATAATACTTGTCACTACCATTTTGTTAAAATCAGCAATTTTTCAATCACTAATTTTTGATTTCTCAACATTTATTTTAAATAAATTACTCCTCTATAAAATTAAAAAAATATTTTTAATAAACATATTTGATATTAATTTGAATTTAAATCTCGTTATAGTGTACGTCCCAGGGCTGGAAAATTCTACACTAAAATGGATTTTATACAAAAACTTGGACATATCACTTAGGCATATGTATATCCCCTTCACCCTTATTCCCTCCACTCGTCAAATCCCATTTCCCCTACCCTTATCAATGGCAATGGGTGCTTAACAAAGATCTATTCTATAATGAGTTTCGACTATATTTTACTTTCACATCTCGTAAATTCAATCCCCTCTTAAAGGGCCGCTCTAATGGATACAGACGTTCAATTAGAGACGGTCTCTCTATTAGAGGTAATACGGCATTTTATTTTAAAATTAATTTCTTTCCACAAAAATATTTCTCAATATAAAATACATTTTTAATTTCAAAAATTACAAAATACAAAAAATTATTTTTATAAATATAAACAATAATCTTGCCAAAAAATTATTTATTTAATTAATATTTTGTCTATCAAAATTCAAAAAAAGAAAAGAACTGTTTTTAGTTTTGTTGTGTGGAATGCTTATTTGGTGAAGAAAATTTCTAAAATGTCCAAGAAATTTTAAGACAAGGAAGGGTTGAAAGGAAAGGTAATAAAGAAATTGAGAAGAGAGTTACCTCCCTTCCCCTCCCAAAAAAAAGGGGCAGTAAAATGAGTGGGAGTTAACGTTAAATATTTAGGTGGGTTTAATAATGCACCCAAATATATAAATTATTAGCCAAAATACCCTTTTTTGTAATTTATATTTTATATTTATAAACTCAGAAATCTTCTTTAACATGCACATTTGCTTTTAAATTTTTTAATTTTTAATTTTTGCATTTCTTAATTTTTTATTTAAATTAAATCAGTTTAAGGGCGAGGTGACGCTACGCCATGGGCCCTACAGCCCCCAATAGAGAACCTAAATTCGTGAAATTTTGCTTAGACCTTCCTAACTGAGTTAGCTAAATATTCTGAAAATTTCAGAATTTTTGGTTTATTATTTTTCAAGTTATAGTAAGAAAGTTATGTGTGTTCGAAGGACACGTCATTTTTAGAACGCTTAGGAATTTTTGGCCGTAACTTTAAAAATAAGAAAGGGAAAATTCTCAAATTTTGAAAGGAATAGGTTAACAGGATAATAAATTTACAGAAAAAATTTTAAGATTTTAGGTCCGCTTTTGGGAATTTTATAAGCGCGCAAGCACACCTTGCTGTTAATAATGCTAGTATTACCCCACAACTTTTATTATTTAAAAAATAATTCTGATAGAATTCTGATTTTTTAAATTTTTTTATAGAAACGTTCAAATCAAATTTATTCCTTCAACAAAAAATAAAAATAAATTTTAATTAAAATCTTCTTCAAAAAATTGCCAAAAATGGCCTCCTCAAGTGCTTCAACCTTATCAAATTATTCCCTTAACCCCACCAATTATCAACACGTTTTTAATTTATTTTTGTCTCTTCCAATACTTGTTCTACTCAAAACTTTGGCACGTTCAACCCCCTATGCTAAACAGGTATTTTTCATAAAATTTTTTTTCATGTGGCAAATATTTCTACTTTATTTATGATACTGTTTAATGTTATAGTAGAACCACATTTTTAAATATCCACTGAATTGAGTACTTCTCAATTTAATTTTTTAATTTCCAAAAATTTGTATGGCCACTATAGATCGTGATTTTTAAAAAGCCTGGACTCTGGGTTCAGGAAAAACCCAGGCATTGGTCCAGGCCTAGCTCGATCTCTATTAGCCACTGCTTGGGAAAGCTGCTTAAATGATACCTTCTCATTTAAAATGCTTCTCTATATAGTAGACCCTCAATTTAAGGAACCTCTCATTATAAGATACAGTTCTTCAGCTTTATCTAAAATCATGGTTCGCTTGTATATTATCTATCAATTTAAGGGATTCTTCTGCAACGACAACGAAATTCGTTTTCCCTATGTGCCGGATACCGTATCGGCTGGTTTTATGGATTGGACAACTAATATTGTTGGGACTATTATTGTAATTTACAATTAATTCATTAAAAATTCTTTTAAAATTTCTTTAAGATCATCTCCAGCGAATTTTCTTTAGTTTGGCATTTAATAAGGCGCCATACTGATAAAAGATTGCACCGAAGGAATGGTCATTTGCACCCTATGATTGTTAATTCTTTGTATTTTTTGGGTAAATAAATTTAATATTTTTTGAAACAATATTAACTTAAAAGTTCAACCTCTAAGAATGCCAAAATAAAAATTTTTTACTATCTGGAGATTATCATAGTACTATAAAAGAAGTCCCTACTGGTCAGTAAGGATGGTGGATAGATCTTCAGATATCCGGATCCGAATCGAAAATTTGGATCCGCCAACCTTACTGATCAGTGTTGTTCATACGGCAAAAGAGGTCCTTTTAATCAGGACTTTCCATATGAGAGAAGAGACTAGGGCTGTCCATAATCGAAATAGATTTCCGATAATTGGCTAATGTAAAGATGATTCACCTAGAAAGGATGATTTACCGTTAAAACGCTTTAAAATGCTTGTCGCAGGTTCAAATCCTGCCGGTGGCTTAACTCTTTCTCTAAATCCTTTTTAAATCTCTCCGTATAAGAGAAGAGACTAGGACTCTCCATAATCTAAATATATTCCCCCGATTACTGGCTAAATCTATTTTAAAACTGGGCGACAAGATAGAAAGATATGAATAAAAGACAAAGACTAGCTAAATAAAGAATTTTAATTTTCCTAAATTTTATTAGCTGCCCAACTCTGTTCTAAACTTTCAACAAGTTCAATTTGCAATTTGGGAAAGAGAACTTGTTCTAGACTTAGACCCAACTTTCTAGCTGTTTGCCAACCTAAAAATCTGAGTGGATTGTGCCCTCCAGATGAATATGGATATATTCAAGATTATGAATGTACTAATGGTCTCTTTGATCAGGCAAGTCTTTAATTGTGAGAAATTTGGATATTAATTTTATTTTCCTTGAGAAAGGTTACTAAAAACTCCCTACTAGAGATAAGCGTGAATCCTTACCAAAGACCGGACTGCGACGAGATCTCGAACAAAAATCTCATTATCTAGAAGATATCTTTTTAGATCTCTAGCTGTTACTATCTGGGTTCGACTTGCCTTGAATAAGCGGGAATAAGATAAATTTTAGTTTGTAAATATGGTTAGAATTAGGGATCAGACGGGAAGGGTTGTAAGAGAATCTAGATTGATATCGTAAAAATCTCGACTCTTAATGACCAAGATTTTTGTTCGAGATCTTTTCTCGATTAGATATATTATCAAAATAATATTTAATTGAAGGGCATATGGGCTAAGCTAATAAAATTGATATTAGCTTGGCCCATGTCATTTTAATTTTTAAATAAAAATTTTCAGAATGAATATTTCTCCTTTCCTTCTGGCCACGCTGCATTCATCTGCAACTTTGCAACTTTTATGATTTTTTATATGCAAAAACGGTGTAAATTCCCTGCTGTAATAAAATCCTTTACTCAATTCTTTATTGCTTTGTTTGCCTATTTTGTTTGCCTTTCGAGAGTGAGAGATCACAAACACAGATTAACTGATGTTGTTGGTGGTGCTGCAACAGGGATTGCTTTGGGGGCTTTCTTTGTGAGTTTTTCTTGAAAAAAATTTATGGTATTTTTCTACCTTTACCGGTCCTTTCAAGACTTTTTGCCTGAATACCTTTTGGAAATTCATTTTAAATATACGGCCTTGAAAAATGATAAGGGCTTCGAGTCAAATCCTTTAACAGTATGAGATACAAATCCATATACTTCATGTTAGGTTTCACTACGTTTGTACGGTCATTCTGACCCGAATGCTTAATATTAGTGATGCTCGGGAGACGAAAAACCCGGGAAACGGGAGTCGGGTCGGGGAATGATTTCGGGAGTCGGGAGGCCAAAAACTCGGGAACTTTTCCTGAGTCGGGAGTCGGGATACCCAAGCATCACTACCTAATATCAACTAGAAACTGAAACCTCGAAGCAATCTTTGATAATTTTTGAAGGATTAGGAGGAAGCCTATTTTAGTCTAAGAATATACCTAAATACATCCCCCTAGCCTCTCCCTAACCTCAATATTTATTTTAAAAAATTCTTTCAGATTCGTTTTATGCTTCACAACTTCCGCCCTAACCGTTACTGTCTAGTAGACAAAGAATGGCCTGAAGAAGATGCCATACTTCCCTATAATGAAAAATTTTCTGCTTCCCAAACAATGATTCTTCAACATAGCAATTCTGTAGACGAAACACAAAAACTTCAAAAATCTTCTTTTACAAGACATTCGAGTGATTATGGCACTTTGGCAAGTTCTTCCGCTTCTGTTAACAATATTGAAGGAAAGAAGGAAGAAATAGAAACGTTGATAAGACAATGAAATGAGTGGAAAGTATGAGAGATAATCTTGCTTCAACTTTTTTTATTAATTTTTTATAAAAAATATTTATCCCAGCCTTGATAAAATTAAATTAATAAAATTAGTTTTTTAATGCAATTAAATTAGGATGGATGTTAAGTAGAGATCGGGTTAGTAGTACGAGATATCTTAAAAATTTTTAGAAGGAATCTTTTCTTATTTTCGATAATTACCTCTTATAAATTAGCTAAAACATTATTAATAATTTTCATTTTTTTTTCGAAAGAGCATTTCTCTGGTCAGTTGAAATTCAAAAAAAATTTTCTTTTTTATAAATAATTAAATTATTTAACAAAAAATTTTTCCCAAAAATATCTTTATCCGATAATAAAAAATTTAAATAAAAAAATAAACAGGCACTCTCGGAGTGCAAAATCTATGATTGGATAATCAATCTCGGTTAATCAATCAAAAATTACTCAGGGAAGGTTGTGTTTGATCGGTAGGTATCGAGGATTTAGCCTATTAGATTTTCAAAACCAGTTCATTTGGGTTAGTGAATTTATTTTTTTATGACGCCAATATCCAGGGATGGGGTAGGTTAAGAGATAGGGCATGTTTCTGATCGGGTTTTCAAAAATTTTTCAAGTCTGTTTTCGAATAGAATAAAGGCCTGGTTTCGGGTAACCAGTCCCCGCCATAGTAGGATCCTTTGTGTTTATATAAAACAAAAAATACAAACTTCCAACAACCTTTCCTGAAGTAATTTACAATTTTAAATGAGTATTTACATTTTATAAAACATATCCGATAATAAAGAATAAATAAAAAATAAAAAGGCACTCTTTAAGAGAAGTGCAAAATTCTTGATTGGATAATCAATCTTCTTTCTCAATTTTTGTTTTTTAAATAAATCAACAAAATCAAAAATAAATCCCCCAAAAAAATAAATTAAAAAAAATAAAGGGCTGCCGCTTGAAAAATGAATAAAAAATTATATCAGAATCACTATTGTCAAGGAATAAAAATTTTGTTATTTAAAAAATTTTTTTAGAAATTTTCCTAAAATAATTTTGAAAATTTAAAAGTCAAAAATTTATTTTCAAAATCCTCCTCGAAATAAACTGATATTTGGCCGAAAATCGAAATTTGGTTATCCAAAAATTCAACTAACAGAAAATTACTTTTCCTAATACAAAATAGGTATTAAAAAATCGCGGCAACCCCTTTAAAATAAATTTAAAATAATTTTACCCAAAATACCCCCAAAAAACCCTTCCAATTTTCTTTTTTTATTTGACAAAATCTCTCACTAAAATATACTCTTTAAAATTTATCCAAAAATTTGTCTTTCATTTTTTCATGTTCATAATTTTGAAGAATTTCATTCCTCATCTCTTCGGCTTTCAAACTATATTTACTGTTAAAATTAAAATCTCCATCCTCATCATGTAATATTTGAACAAGAGCATTCCAGAGATTTTGAATAAAATGATTATCATAATGTCTCAAATAAATGCCAACTCCTTTTGCTTCAACAATTGAAGCATTATACAATTGATCTCCAGTAAATGGAATACAAATCAAAGGAACACCAGCATACATTGACTAAAATTTTTTTAAATTTTCTGTTTAAGTGTCCCAATCCAGCGAACAGTTTCTAACTCTATGGATTTCCGACTTTTTTTGAATCGCGTCAATTAAGGTTTTCGGATAGTTGGAAATCTTCTGATATCCAGATCCGGTATCCGAACCGAAAATTTCCGGATAGCCGGACTTTTTCGGAATCCGGATATCCGGATCCGACAACCTTAATGTCATTATGTATCTCTTCACAGCACATTGTATCAATTATTAGTCATTTTAATCTCAAAGATTAACCCAGCATCCCAGTATCGCGTTTGCCGCTAAAACACGGCCGGATCTATCAAAAACTCTCAGGATCCATCTTAGGTATCTTTTATCTTTAATTCATTTTCCGTGACTGTTTTTTTTCTATTGGCTTTTATGAAATCAGTCAATTTTGTTAGGAATATCACTAAAAATCTTGATAACTGGAGAATTTGAATCCTATTTCCTTAATAATTGCTCTGCGTAATTATTGTTCCAACCAGTCGCTTGAGAGAGTAATTAATCGAGAATAGGTAGTTAATCTAGGGAGGGTAATTAATAGAGACTATACGGTTATTTTATGTCAAATTATTTTATGCATTCAATACCTCGTTAACACTATTTATCCCACAATGTGAAATGAATACTCTTGTATTTGTTTGAGCTGAAAATAAAATTAATTTAATAAATTTGTAAAGAAATATACATAAAATTTCTTTCTGTGGAAGAGGCTCTTTGCTAGTATAACCATTGCGGAATTTTGAATTTCCAGTCGCTCGAACATGAAAATGACACTTAGGAAATTTTACAAACACTTGTTCAATCATTGTGGGGATTGGATACATTACTAAATATTCCATCGTTCCAAAGCTGACAAGAACATCACATTTAGACTAAAAAATTTGTCTGTGTCAAAAAATAGACGAAACTCGAATTTTTTATAATATCTTGTGGTAATATCGTGTTAGTGTAAGGGGGATTCACCTAGCAGCATTTAAAACGCTTAGGCGGGGGTTAACGATCTAAAAGGATAAAAAAAGTATTATGGCAGCTCGGTGTGGTAGAGCTACGAGGAGGTCGCAGGTTCAATTCTGTCCGGTGGCTAAACTTGCAAACTCTTTCTTTAGAAAATATACAATCAGGATCCTTTAGTTTAGATATAAAGTTTGTAAATATATTTAAATAATTTTATTATATAAATTTTAAATGAACCTCCCATACCTTACTCTTCACAGACTTTTTTTCTTCAGTTAAAAGCTTGTCATCTTCAACAAGAATACCACCAATATAAACAATTTTATCGTCCTCAGGAAACTCGTTAAATTTAATTAAAGGATGTTGATTTATAAAATGATATTTAATTTTTTTAAATAAATCTTCTAAAGTTGGTGGCTTTTTGATGGATATTTCATTATTATCAAACAAGGAATTATAAAAGTTTTGAGAAGTTGAAGTGAAAAGCTCTCGTACTCGGTTGTTACTTACTTCATGTTCCTTTCTATTCTCCTCACTGTCTTTTTGCCATTCTCCATTAACCCAATCTCCAGGTTTAGCAAGGTTGTAATCTTAAAAATAAGGTTTTAAATTATTTATAACCGAAAATTTTCGGTTTCAGTTCGTTTCAGTTTATAATCGACACCTCTAGTCAAGACAGTTCACAAAAACTAACAATAAGGCAGTTTACCACAAGGCAATTAATGTATAAAAAATTGTTCACGAGGAGTTGTGCGCAATTGGAAAATAATTTTTGCAGCCGCAAACTCGCAATTTTTATTTTAAAATCCGCAAACGAAAGTTGCAGATCTACGAATATAAGGTAATTGGAGATATTAAAGGTGGTTTAAAGTAATATCATTGATTTGAGAAATATCAAGGATTAGTGAGTGTAAAGCATATAGCTATTAATTTCCTAAGGCTGTACAGTAGGCGGCGTGGTGTAATAGCTAACACACCAGTCCGGTCTACTGAAGATGCTGGTTCGCTCCCAGCCGCCGAATAACCTTTTGCACTAGCTAAAGGAGAGAAATGCTATAGCCCAGTTTCTTTACTTGAGTTAATCAGGGAGGCACTTAACTCCGTAATATATGTGTATCACCTTAAATCCCTATAATCTCCGATATCGTAATTAACCCTTGATACCTCTGATATCCCGTCCACCAACATCACTCTTGATTTGTGTAAGGCAAATGGATATCAGTGGAGTTGAGGATATCAGTGGAGTTGAGGATATCAGTGGAGTTGAGGATATCAGTGGAGTTGAGGATCGCGCCGGTCCTGCTCTAGTGCCAATTTTACGTCTTACTTCTTTTGAAGAAAGAAAGTCTTCCTTTAATTCACCCCTAATATTTTTTATTAAATAAATAATTAATACATCACCAGGAACTTCAAAGCGCAAAACATTAATTCCGAGGAATTGAAGATGTGCTGGATTGAATACAGAATTGGAAACATCAAAAGTTTCTTCAATTCCCAGTGCTTCAAACACAGCAAAAGAGCCAGCCATTACATTGAACTCAGCAATTCCAATATCATATTTAATATTATTGTTTTCATCTCTTCTAAGCCGATCAAGAATGCTGTCTTCATTTGTGATGATTTCTTTAGAAATGAAAAATATTTTATTTTATGGTCGGTCAGAAATGAGGAAGGTGCCGGAAAACAATTTTTTTGGGGACCTAACTACCCAAACACACATCTCATTTGATGCCTCATTCACTTTTCTTTCAAAATAATAATAGAAAAGTAAATTAGGAGGGAATTTTCAAGTTTTTTCTTTGAATTCCCTTAGAGAATGGCATTTTATGGGCCCGAAACTTTTTCGGGTTAGAAAACGAATTTGTACTTTTTCGGGCAGTGTTCGGGTTGGGGGTAATACGAAAAAATTTTTCTTAAATGGGTCAGGGTACGAGGTCGGGAGTGAACTCTACAGAAAACCTGACTTTTAATTTTATTTTTAATTATTTTACCTTTATAAATTCCTATAGTAAAATATCTTTCATGATCTTTATATGCATCAGCAGTTCCAAAGTTCAGCAAGGTTTCTTCATTTATTGGAACAGGAATAACTTGAAATTTTTCTGACTGTACTACTAATCCCTCAGGTTTAGTGTAAACTAGCATATCCTGAATAAAAAATAAAAATATTGAGTCGACGCCCAACTCCAATTTTTGTCAAAATTTAATTTTTGCCAGTAACGTTTAATGAATTTTAAGTAATATAGACCGATCTTTTAATTCAGAAAAGTAACCAAACAAATTTATAGGAACAAATTATGCCCCCAAACCAAATAGGACGGACTAAGAACTGATGTCGAAAACCCGAAGGAAAAACATCCATTCCATAAAATATAAGTATTTAAATATAAACTAACCACATTATACTTTTCTGTCAAAATGTTGGCTAATAATGTCTAAAATATAAAGTCTGCAACTTCAAAAAAACATTACTTTATAAAACTTCATAATAAGTAGGGACACACAAAACATGCAAATGCATGTTTTGTATGCGGATATGCCTTAAAGTGGGAAGTCCAAAAATTCTACATAGGTCCGAGCACTTTAGGACCCGGTTCTTAATGCATACTATTTTTGCATATTTCGACCATATTTGTGTATATTTTGGCAATTTTTGCATATTTTAATGCATATTTTGGGCTTCAGGGGTGGCAAGGGATGGCAAGTGCCACAAAATATGAGATATGAGATTCACGAGATACAAGATTCTCAAAAAAATACGAGAACGAGATAAAACGAGATACGAGATCTCTCAAAAAATACGAGATTTCACGAGACACGAGATACGAGACTAAAGCCACCTCTGATCGGTATGCTTTAAAAGATTAATACATACTATGTATAGTCAGGAGATTTGGTGGAAATCGGTGGATTAGGGGATATCAGCAGGTTTGGAAAATATATGGTATATCTGGTATTCGTAGGCTTTAGTTCATGAACGATTAAGGGGGATATCGGGATAGAGCTTCCTTCTATTTGCGCCGCAGGCAAAAATTTTACAAATTTTGGAAGGTCATGAAGCTAGATCTTCTCTTATCTTAGACTCCGGCTTCTTTCTTAAAATAGCCCCAAATTGTTGGCATTATTTCTAAAATAGATTGAAAATATCTCGTGTCTCTTGGCAAAATACGAGACACGAGATATGTCTCTTTATTATAATTTAAATTAAAAAAAATTTACATTAAATTGCACATGAGAGGAGTAAAAATTGTCACAAATGTACAAAGCATTTTTAGCCTTTTTACTCTTTCTTTGAACTTGTTCAACTTCCATTTCTTCCGTTATAGGTCGTTTTTCAGGGTTGCGATAGCTTTCAAAATCATCATCTGTAGCTCCCTCTCCTCCTTTCGAACAACAATCCCCTCTTTTAAATCGACGATGAAACAAAGGATTTTTTGTTTGTTTTAAAGGACATTTACACTTTTTTGCAATGCATGAATTAATAAAAATTAGAAAAAATAAAAAAATGTAAAAAATTAATTTGATGTACATTTCCTAAAAATAAAAAAATAATTTTTTTAAACCTGAAGAGAATTAATTAACCATGTAATTTTATTTATTTTACTTGGGGGCAGAGGATATCGAGAGGTTTGGAGCTATTAAGAGGGATACACACACAGGGGAGGAGTATAAAATTACAATAAAATCAGAGGTTGGTTGGAATTCCGATTCCAGCATTCCAATTTCTAGTGTTTTCCCAAGTGTCTTTAAAGTTCTGCCTTCCGATTTTTGGATCCTAACGTTATTTCAGAGCTTTTACTAAACCTCTTCCAGAATTTCCAACCACCCTATTTATCATAGTCACACAATTTTCAGTGTAAATTTGTATAAAAATTGTTAAAAGTAAAATGTGAAAATGATTTTAATTAAATTTTCCCCAAAATAATTTTAAAAAATTTTTTACATTTAGTAAAAAATGTAAAAAAATATGTATATTTATATGCAATTAATGTCTATGTATGTCAATGCCTTACACAAGC